AAAAAAAAAAAAAAAAAAAAAAAAAAAAAAAAAAAAAAAAAAAAAAAAAAAAAAAAAAAAAAAAAAAAAAAAAAAAAAAAAAAAAAAAAAAAAGACAAAGCCATCAAACAAATATACCATACCCTATAAGATGCCTTAACTTAATCTACTGAATAGTATACATCTCCATACTACTTCAAATTGATCAAATCAGTATTCGACAAATATTCCGAGAACAAGATCCAAGTAAATGATCTAACATGACAAGGAATCAATAGACCACCCATTTTCATACATAAGTAGACGCTCTACCAACACAAACCCAACCTAACCTCCGCTCCCCAATAGTGCAATGCAATGCAGGCCCAATTTATCTCCAACCTCAATACTAACTAATCATCAATCCCATCATAACAGCGGGGCTGCATAAATGTCTTAGTTTCAGCACAGCACCGAGCCTCGTAACCCAGCACTCTACATCTGGACTGAAACTCGGCAGTGCTGGTAGTAATGTTGACCTAGAACATGAAGGTGATACCTTGTTAGTCAAATATATATGTACTAATACAGCAAGCAGACACTTATGATCTCCACAGTCCGAAAGAAATATCCCTTGGGCACTGAGACTGCGGCACTGAAGGGTGGTATTATCGGGACAGACGGATGAAGAGACAGCGAGGCTTGAGGCCGTGACGATTGGGAAGGGGAATGGCGAAGGTCTTCATACTGAGTCGGAGTCGATGGACTGAGTACAAGAGAAGAGAAAGAATTGAAGAAAGAGGAGGAGGTGGTGGTAGTAGAGTTAGGTCACTAGATCAACTCGACGGATGAATAAATTGATGAGTTGCAAGAGCAAACGGGAGGAATATGTTGGGATTTAAAAAACCCCCTTTTCGTTACTATATTTGGACACATGGGGCATATACTAGTCTTTAAAGCTGAAGAAGACTTTGACTGAATCAATGGGCTTTTCTTGGTGAAATCTAAAGTTGCTTTAATAGTTTATCCATATTAGTATATGCTGGTGATAATCTTGACTACTAACTAGCTCAGACATACGTACTACTACATAATTACTCTACTTATGTGGTACTACTAGTTGGTTAGTAGTAGACTGGATATTCTCGAGTTATTACTATGTATGCATGCATCATGCCCAAGTGTTCTCCAACGTCACTGAAGAGATAGATAGTATATTACCATCCGCTTATGCACAAAATCATGCCCTAATCGAAATATTCAAGTGCCAGTTTCAAATACTATGCCAATCGTAAATGCTATATCAATATGAGCCATCCGACCCATCCAAACGCCCGTCTCTATATTATATACAACCCCCAAATGCCCTCAAAGAAAGTAACCAAAAGCACGCACCCCCAGAAACGGCAATAACCAGTGCACCCTTGCTCGCCGACATGATACCCGCGGTCAGAATGATGACAAATGAACGAAAGAAAAACAACCAAATGAGTGAATGGGAGAAGGATGTAAGAGATCCTATAGGTAAAGCAACATGAGGTGGACAATATATGCAAAAATATAGGTATGGTATCGAGCAAAAAGGCAAGCACAAGCACATATAAGGCTCAAATCATAGAGAGAAAGCAGCAGACATTATATACGAGGGTGAGCTGCTGATTGCCTAGGCTCTGACGCGTCGGGCATCAAAGTACTTCAGACTCACAGCGGTGTCGTTCATTCCGACAATTGGAGCAGCGTCTTCGAGAAGTTCCCAGGGGCGAACCGGATAGGCGCCAAGACCCCGGCCACGGTACTGCAAACGAAGGTGGCTTGCAATGCAATTGACACCTTCAGATAGCCCAGCCGGTAGGCCCGACGCTGAAGAGAGGTTTTGTTGTGAATTGGGTGGCCCGCCAGCGAGATTACCAGTCGGTGTCGGGGTTGAGCCACCGGCCGCAGGAGATGGTAGAGATGCGGGTTGAGACGAGTTGAGCGTTGATGTGTCCATCACGGGCCCGAGAAGATAGAGGAACCGGGAATCGTTTTGGAACTGAAGAAAAGGAGGGCATTTCTCCTTGAGGAAACGGGCACATTGTTGTCGTGCTTCATCCGGGAACGTATCAATCAGTGCTGCTGCAACGTCCAAAGCGTGGGTCTGTAGCAGGATTCCGGGACATGGGCGGTAGCCTTCCGACTGCACAGGATGAGGGAAATAATTCGCTGACGGATAGAGACGAATGACCCGGTCCGGGAGACGTGCGAGAGTGATGCAGAAAATGGAAATCAGCATGCGAGCTTGTTCTTGGAGACCGATCGGCTTAGGTGTTAATGCCGGCGTGTTGAATGCTGACCGATGGAGGACAACAAGTCTGAGCAGGGCCGAGAACCAAAATGCAAGGCTTCTTTCGAAATTCGAGCGCGCCTGAGCTATCTGACACGACTCTGCGGGAGCAGACGAATTTGGCTGCATGGTGATGAATTTCTGGAGAAGCAACTCCATTTTCTCCACCAACATAGGCGCAACTGATGGCACGCCCGTTTCAGGAATGCTATATGCTAGCTTTTCAATAATTGCCAGATAAAGCCGAGCGGTTTCAATGGAGTTTGACTTGTCTGCCACGGTGGGATCGCCAATAGGTTCTTCCAGGATAGGAATAGAAAAGAAGCCCTTTTCAGCTCGCTCGCGGATCTGCAACAGTCAGCGAAGGTGAAACAATAGGGAAGGGTTTTGGCTATCCTCATACCTGTCGTACCGCATCCTGGTTCATCAGACTCACCAAACCGTACCAGTGGGAACGCTTTGAGCGAGCATCAGCCATCGCTGCCTTGAACATCACATCTACGATACCATTGTCGACTCCATTCCCAGCCTCTGCATTAAATAAGAGCTGGAGCTTCAACTGACAGATAGGGAGCGAGAAGTCATTGTTCATGCCAATGACTCTCTCAGCCTCAGACATAGTCTGGGGATCTGAAATCGTGTTAACCTAGACCCCAACAGTCAGGGAACTGCAAACAAACCTTGTGAATTGAAGCCGAGTAGAGCATCAAGAGCCTTTTGTAGGATCATTGTGGACGCCGGGTCTTGGCCAACTAACTTTTGCGTACAACATTTTACCATGCGTTCTGGTTTCTGCGTGAGTAAGGTTTGGAGCAAGACCATGGCGCACTTTGTAAGGTCTGCCGGGTTCGATTCACTCGCACTTTCTGTCTGCCTCATGTTGATCAGTGGCACAGCAGCACGAATGATATTGAGGCACTCCTCGGGATGCTTGTCAATGAACTCTTGTTGTGCTAAATAGTAGCGATACGTGACCTAGACAGCAGGATTAGACAATGTAACTCAAGCGCAAGCTTCAGGACTAGCGGAAAGGGAATGAGGGTGCATAGCTCGAAGCAAAGCGATAAAGCATACCATATCTGTGTAACGGCTCCCGCTCGACTCCTGTGAGACTAGGAGTTCAAGAAGATCCAGCTGCAGATCCGTGACTTTAGGGACTACCAAGGCTACCCTTTCCGATTGTAAAAGCTTCTTCACAAGCATCACAAAAGCGTGTATGGTGACGCAACCGACTCCAATAAGAGGAGGTAGGATACGGACCATTGCAATCCGAGATGGTGACTTCAGAACCCCACATACCCAGCGAACCAGCCTTGCATCGAATCGTTTTGGATGGAAAGACCTCAGGTAAGCCAGGTACCTGCATATGTCATTCGCCGACAATTTGAGGTGACCATTCTCGTTTGCCAACGCCGCAGTCAGTGAATTGAATATAGAGTCCATAGTGGACTCATCCATCCCTCCTCCAGAGAGCAAAATCTGATCTAACTTCTCCTGGAACGAAGAGTCGGCGTCGTTGAAGGCCGTGGAGAGATTGTCCGACAGCGGAGATGGCGCAGCTAGGGCGGACTTGTTCTCAATACGCGACAGGTCTTGACGCAGAAGAGCAACAGTATTAAACTCGCTGGGCATCCGTAGCCCCAATTCGATCAGTGAGAAGATGAGGTCTAAACTGGGCGCTCCAAGTCTCTTGAGACGAGCATAGGATTCAACAAGCCCTTTGAAGAGATCCGTCGCAGCACCAATAATACTCAAAGAATCGAAATGATAATTGATGGTATCAGCAACGGAGGCCAGAACGACACTGTCATCGCAGTTTGTCGCCTGCTTGAGCACGTCGGCCAGCATCGAGATATCTCCAAAGCTTTCCAGTACGTCGCGGATGTTGTAAAACTCGACAGGTGTGAGTGCAGAAACACCGGAATCAGCAAGCATGGGTATATGTGCATATTTCCTAGCAGCTGTTAGACTAGGACATACTTGAAGGGACTGAAGACTGGGTACCTGACTGGCTCACGACAGTGTCCAGATACTCCACGGCGGATCCACAGGCCAATCTCAGATTTGACTGCCCATGTCAAACTCGACAATGGCTGGTCGGTCAACATTGCATCACTTGCCTGTGGCCCAAAGATTTTCGGAAGCCGTTGAGCGATAGACGCTTTGACGGTTGCAATGGTTGATTCTTCGTCTGAAGCAGTAATTCCGGCACGACTCAACAGCGTGTTGCGGAGGTTACGGACATATTCTGGCAAACGGGCCAATGGAAGTTGTATAAGAAGGCGTAGGTCGTCCGAAATAGCCTGTTAGCTTAGTCAATATTATCGCCTACTGATCCTAGGAGAGGCATCTGACCTTATGTTGATCGGGCAAAGGATCGTTTGCTACCCCTTTCGCCATCAGCCACTGTAGGTACCTGCCCACAGAGAATGTCTGAGACCGGACAAGTTCCGCAATTATATGATAGACATTGTCCATATTGACGCGACTGGTTATCTGAATGTTGGCAAGGAAAGCGAGAATATGGGATTCAACATCCATTCCCGACATCTTCCATTTCCGAAGCAGACGAACACTGGTATACACGCGGCGGGACCCATGGCGAAACGGAGTCGCTGCCCATTCAAGTAGCTTGGCGACCAGAGTAGCCTTGTCTTCCACGGCAGCCAAGCAGGCCGAGGACGTGGACAAGACATCATGTGCAGATTGTATGGATTCGAACAAGTGGATGACATGTTGCTGAGGCAATTGCTGAGTCGTCACTTGGTGGTTAGTAGGCAGCTGGACTCGTACGTTACGCTCCGCAAGGTTCTGCAGTGTTGTCTTGTCAGGCGATTCCTTCAGGTTCAGGCATGAAGCAATCAAGTCCTTGTATTTATCCCAGGATTTCGGGAGTATAACAGAGGACGTATGCTCGAGTACTAATCTCCTGATGCATCGAGATAAACGTTCAACTAACGGTTCCAAGGCTGTAGGTTGTCCGGGCTGCTTGATCTGTCACGCCAATTAGCTATGAAAGATAACACAAACTTGAGGAAGCGTACCAAGCGCAGCTTCTCCAGTAAAACCTCAGCCAATCGTCGACCACGCTTTCGATAGCGCATAATATTATTCCAGTATATACCGAGCATTAAGAGCCACACAGGCACGGTGTTTAGTGGCGCAGCCTCTAAAGATGCCAAAAACCAACTGAGATACTGGTCGTGGTCCAGCAATCGCTCGAAGAATAAACGCGATGTTAAGCTGACACTATGAAGAATAAGTATCCCTGCACCGGGAAGCGAAAGGAATGGCTTACGCATATGTCATCTTCGTCTTCCAGTCTGAAGATCCGCAAGTACCTATTACACTTTCAAGGAACTGCTGGACAGTTGATGTCCAATCGCGGACCCATTTGGTCTCGAGGCCCAGAGCGAGGGTCCCGCTCGTGCCTTTTCGCTTAAAGGCACGAATTTCGTTGGCCCCGACACATCGGGCCAACCATATAGCTCGCGGAACCGGGATGCCTTTGCCCAGACATTGATCGAGCAGCACCTTGCCTCGAATACCATGGGGTATTGTCCGACTTAGTCTGCGCAACGGGACGGATGGATTGGCGAGATCCCGAAGCCAAGCCTCGCGTTTGTTATCTGTCAAAGTGACGCGCGGGGGAGGTTTGAAGCTCGACGGAGTGGCGATCGTACTATGGGATTGACGTTTCTCAAGAGCAGCGGCGAAAACAGAGGAGAGCATCTGAAGGCCGGATCGATGCTTCAGCTGCGCGTACAGAGATGGGCGGGCTGTATTAGACTCGTTCTGCGAGACCTGCGTACGGTCGTAATGGCCTTGTTTGGCAGTATGGTCATTAAGTGTATCTTCCGGGTGGTTGCCCGTCCAAGGGGAAAAGTCCGCGACTCCTAAACCGCGATTATGCAATTAGCCGAATTCTTCCATACGAGTTATCGTGCGGGTCGACTTACTCTCCCCTTTCAGCTTTGGCGCAACAGGGGGTACGACAATACGATAGGGAGTTGTTTGCACTTCCTTTGTAGATGCGACATTTGCTTTCGCGCTGTTGCTTCCGGAGGCTTCCTGCGGAGTGTGCTTCCAAGGGACGAGAGGTAAAGGTGGCGGCGATGCAGGGTTCTTCCCTTGAGAAGTGGTATCATCTTCCTTCGCTTCCACAGCTCCAGTCGTCTCCGAGATCAGGGCCTGGAACGACCACACTGGTCGACCGCGCCAGGCAAGCGGATTTGGTTTCGAGCTTGCGGTCCCTGGGGTGCTTCTCGCTTCTCCTCCACTTCCCGGAGCTGGACTTCCCTCAGGTGGACATGATCCCGGAGGCGCATCCAACTTGAGTCTTTTCGCAGGGGGCTCCCGGTCCTGAGAGTCGCTGGCATTCGCGGTAAGGTCGATCACTGCCGGCTGTCGGGGTAGCGGTTGCGGCATGGACATTGACAGCTTCTCCAGCTGCGGGTCGGACTGAACCAGAGCTTGGGAAGCATCAACGCGTCCTGAGCCGTTATTGAGGGCGCGCAGGGAACGGCCCCATGGCTGGACGCCGGCGGAAGAATGAGGTATCATGTCAGCTTCATGGTGTATCCAAGCGTCGGGATCTAATCATTGACACCGCGCCGTCACGACGGCTATACAACTCTCCTCAGGGATGGTCACCGGACGCTTGTGGAATGGACTGGTGATATGCCTGATAGGACCAGGACCGGTATGCTGCACATTCGATCCTTTCAAATTGAATCTGGTGCGGGTTAAACGAATCGACGAGCAGGGTGGAGCGGCTATGGGGGGTGGAGGAGACGGAGGTTAAACCCCGGTAACCGTCGCGGAACTGAGTTTCGGGGGGGCAAGGCGGGAAAGGTCAATGGATCCGATGGCGGAAGAGATGGGAAGAGAAGAAACCCAGCGGAAGGGAGATAGTACAGGAAGGAATGCAGATAGAAGACCGAGAAGGAAGAAAGAAGAAATAAAAGTAGAAGAGAAGGAGATAGAGACCAGGAAAAAGCCGAAGACGGTGGCCGAAGAAAGCGAATCTGGAGATAACGTAAGGAGGACCAACTGGCACCTGTATGACCGACCTACCCAAGAAGGAAGTCGCAGTAGCCCGAGAGGGGGCAGGGATTACCGGGTTGAGACGGTAAATTATCCGGCTGACGGCTGCCAATCCGCGTGGTGCAATACCGCCGTATTACCGGCTTTGGGGGGGAGGGGATCCGTATTTACATTTGATGGATCCTCTTGGTGGGTGATCGGAGCCAGCTTATCCATAGGCTGATCCGAGGGCTGATAGTAGTATCCCTGATGGTTGGGGCTAATAATACCCACGGAGTACCTACATTGTACATAATCTGCTAGACTATGGAGCACTTCTAGTAAAAAAATAAGAAAAAGGCCCGGAGTATCCACGGTGTTCCTGCTGCTGAATATCTAGACTGAAACCAAACTAACTAATTACTTACTGATTTACTGACTTACTGTACATGTTTCTTTTCTTCTTCTCTGTGCAATCTTGCCTGATCTACTCTCACCCCCAAGGCTTCCCTCTCCGCATTCAGCAACTGACCCCGACTGACTCAATCCATGAAGAACTGACTAACTAACCAGAACTTTGTTTGGTCTGTCGGATGGCCTAGTCCACGACAAGTGATCACGCTATTCGGTAAATCTATCAACCAATCCTGAATCGATCATCTTGGCATCAGATGATGGGGTTCCCTTCATTCGGACGATTCTACACCTGCAACTCGACGCAATTACCTGATGATATCGCGGCATATCGCCCCATTCTTCCGCCAGTGGCTAGCAGGCTAGGATCGGATGGAAAATGAAAAATTCCCAAGAGCCACTTGGATCAAGAGATAGGGACCATGGCGAGGCGACTCTCCGTGCCTAACCCAACCACAGCCATCTTAAACTCCGCAGATCGGCCCGTTTTAAGGGCGATCCCTGCTCGACAGACAGTACTTTGGGATTGAATCCCAACTTGTTTGCGTCGCCTTACAGTAGTGACCCTCCCGGGGATTAATCTACGATGCGCAATCTGTACGACGTTTGCAAGGGTAATAGAATCTTGTCATGTTCCATTGACTTTACCTGTAGCACACACAAGGTGATACGTGTGCGATCTCCCTGGAGAAGGAGGGGGAGGGATATGAATTTTCCCTGGCTGTCACATTCAAACATACGGTGAACACTTTTCGACTATCCGATTCAGTATCCCGACTGAAACCGATCCTAGATGGAGACTATTAGAACTTTGCCTAAAGCACACTTTCCGCGTCTTCCTTCTCCAAGACATTTTTCTCTTTTTTCGCCTTGAACCCACTCTCCATCACCCTGTGGGCCGTTGGATCAAGGGGATCCCATTCTCTCGGATTCCTCCAGTCTTCTCCTGCCTAAGCGCCCCGAGCCCCGTCGGGAAGATCCATTGCCGAAGGATGTTAGACATGTGTCATGATATTATTCTTCTTCATCATCCCCATCGCTGCCATCTGCCATCTGCCATCCTCAAACGTCCGGCTACGGGATGCACCCTCTCCACAGTGGCATGACACTGCGTGGGAGACTGTGAGTACCGTATGACTATGCCGTCTGATTTCACGCTTCTCCGCATCTTAAATGGCACATCGCTGTAGATCTTCGATGACCTATCAGCCTGTAGATAGATAAATATGGTGTTTTGATTGCTTTCAGGTCGCCACATTTCCCCCAGCCCTTTTACGCGCTAGAGCACCTCCGTCTGCCCTGTGCTGCTGGGCGTCTGCTCAGCAAAGATCTCCTGTTTTAAATACGGGGAACAAGGATCCATGTGCTGAACGCACTGGATCATCCCGGAAACTCCGAGCGCACAGACTGGCGCACTACGGCTGGTACCAGATACTGGCCACGGAGCAGCCTTTCAGTAACACCATTCTAGCCGCAGGATGCAGTGCAACCCTGGCTGTTCCAGCTCGCAAATGGCCACGGTGAGATGGAGCGGATAGGTACACAAGCATGGTCCGGATCAAAATCGGGGTTTGCGAAAGGGGCTGCTCGGTTCTGAAAAGCCACGGAATGGGTCCTCCGTCGGAAGCCCAGCCCAACGCCCCTTATGCAAATGGAACAATCAAATGGAGATAATCAATTATACGCCTTGTTCTTGGGATAGAGAGGTCGGGAGTCCGTCCATCTCCTTATCAATTGGTGTATTTTCCAGAAAGCACAGTGCATGCGTGTGTATCTTGCGTCGCCCGCCCGGTGGTGTTTGCGACACCTGAGCTGATCTTGATTCCAATCGCCGACCGTATCACTGCTGATCGCCCCTATCGCTTAAACTTAGTTGATCAGAAGTACAGAGCAGGCTGACCTGAGTGTCTGATACGGCTCAACCCGAAGATGGGTGATCTCCGAAGGGATCTCTGTCTGGTCCCTCATCACTTGTTGACACACACACAGCCTGTCCTCCGAAGGGACTAACTACGCTAATCTAAGGTGCCCGGCGTCGGAGCTAAACAGTCACGCTTTTTGAGTGTGGTTTACTCGACAATCATCCGCTAGTCCAGTAGTCAACATAATACGTAGCATCGGTTTATAGATAGCTAGAGGCTAGCTATGATTGCGATCGTCTTTCGTTCGCCAATGGCTTTGTGCACTCATAATGGGATAATATAATGGACAACTTATCATCCGGGGGAGATAAACCTCGGATCCGGGCAGCCTTTCCGCTTTGGTCTTGGCGTCACGCATCGCCTGGTTGGCCTGTTCGCCTGCCTCTCAACCTGAACGAAGGTACCTCTTTCACGGCCTGTGCAGTAGCCTCGGAGTATCAAGCGACAAGATGGCATCCAAGAAGGACATGCGGAGGTTGGACCTCGGTAAGTTTTCTGCTTCTACTGTCGGAAATATCTTGTTCTGGAATTTGAGCGTATCATTACTGACGTCGCCGCCGATAACTAGCCATCCCCTACATCGACCCTCCCAAGAACAAAGATGAGCCCGACATGTCTAGTATGTGATGATTGAATTATACAATCTCATTATGGATGGGATAGCAAGGATAATATGCTGATTGCCCGGTTCAGGCGCCATGTCCAGCACCATGCCTATGGCTGCGGTAAGTCGCGAGCCCCAATCTGAAGATCTTGTGCCTATTCATGCTTCAGACGCGCTAACACTTGCGGCAGATGTTCACCAGGAATAGGTGAGCGCAAGATCTAACACTTCAATCGGCTGTGTGGATATATTCTAACCAAGCTCGCGCGCGCAGAATGATCGGATGGTAAGTCGCCAATGTCTCAACGTTCGAGCAGCTGGCTAATGTTGGTCAATTCAGGGTCTCCTTCGTTTTCTCGCTTCAGTCCTGGCTTGGTGAGACTCCAGACCAGAAGAGAACAGCTTCGACTCCGGCCTACATGTCCGTCTTGATGTCCTGTACGTGTATACATTCTGCTCCTGTTACAAGGGATTCATGAACTAACTGCTGGTTGTGCTCATAGTGATGGCTTTGGTGGTTGTATGTTCCCGGACAATCCTGACGAACGATACCATCCTCTCTAATTTGCATTCTATAGACCTACTTCCCCATCTTCCTGCCTCCCCAGAATGCGCGCGCTGCCCCGGGCGCTACTGCATCCACTACTCCTTCCCCTTAAGCGACAACCGATTCTGTGATACCATTGCCGACGAGTTTCGATACAATATAATACCACCAAGTCTTTCAGTTCGCATAAAAAGAGAATAGGGTTGGGAAGTTGGGTTTGACGGTGGTCAAATGAGGAGAGACACGATCTGTTAGTTCAAAGCCCTTTGGTCATCTGTCTTCTACTTTTTTGTACAGGGCGAGACTGTGATGCTGTATGAACAATATAATACTTCAATTGTCATAATATCATTTTTATCTATCATTTAGTTTGATTGCCCGGGTTGTTGTGGCGAGCTTTGGATGTCATCCAAAACACTGTTCAACACTCCCATGTGAATATGTGTGAGGATGAACTCGACATGACGGATTTTCTAATGTAAATCATACAGTCAAAAGCGATGTGCAGCACCCAAATGCGTAGAAACGACGTATGTATGAGAGGAGCCCGGGAAAAACGGAGAGAGGGGAGAGCCCTTGGCTTGCCACCGATATCCAATCAGCACCCCGGTTTGGAAACCCAATTATAGCATTTTGTCTAGAAGCCCGGCGCCTCCTCAGCCCACCAGAGGCAAAGGGTAGCAATCAGAATGAACCTTGAGCCTAAAAGACGGTCCAGTCATGGATGGAACGTACCAGATCAGCGCGCTGGAAGGGGGGGAAAGAGGGCTTAGTCACAGATACACCGCCTTCCCCCACAAGGGCGCTAAGGCAACGCCGCGCCCCTCAAAAGGCTCTTCTGTTCTTCTTCCTGCTTCCTTCCCGATCACCACCTCATCCACTTTTGAACCTCCAGCTCCAAGTCTCCCAAGACTCTACGATCACTCCGATTTCCACAGAGATCTAATTCTCTCCCCTCGCTCACTTCCTATACACCGCTTTTAAGGGCCGTTTACGACGAAAGGCCGAGTTTATGTCCATCGAAAACCTCAAGACCTTCGGTGAGTCGCTTCGCCACCTCCCCTCCCCCCTTCTGTGGACATCGTCACCAGGCCCGCAGTACTGCCTGCAGCAGATGTTGGTCTTCCTAGCGATGGTCTTCCAAAAGATCATTGCGAAGTTGGCTCTTCTTGCTAAGGCTTGGCTGTGTAGCCAGGGTTGTCCCTTTTGATCCAACTGCGTCACAAGTTGGCGGGGTAATACTTGGTCATGAGAGCCTGAGGCTGACACGTGCTCTTCCACAGACCCCTTCGCCGAAGCTGACGAAGACACCGGCGAGACTAAACAGTCTCAAAATTACATCCATATACGGATTCAACGTACGTTCTATTGTCGTCCCCTCCACGTGGTGCCTTGACCCCTGTCATCGTCGCTGGTGGCGCCACGCTGTCTTGTCATGCACCTATGACTAACATGTATCTGTCTACAGAGCGCAATGGTCGTAAGACCTTGACTACCGTCCAGGGTCTTCCTAAGAAGTTCGATCAGAAGAAGATCTTGAAGGTCATTAAGAAGAAGTTCGGTATGTTGTCGCCTACTACCTACGTGCTTCGCCATGTCACTAACTTCCCTTGTCAGCCTGCAATGGCACCATTGTCAACGACACTGAGATGGGCGAGGTGATTCAGCTGCAGGGAGACCAGCGTAAAGATGTTCAGGAGTTCTTGACCGACAAGAAGGAGGGTCTCGAGCTGGACGCCAAGACCATCAAGGTCCACGGTTTCTAAGCCAGACGCCACGCCCCCGTTCCGGTCCCTTCTTCCCAGTCTACGTTTCCCTCAGAGCGGTGCGGTAGGGGACAGTATGTGCCCACCTGCCCTCCTGATGTGGCATTGCGGTTCCCGCCACTGCCACGAGGGGTTGTTCGGTCTAATATATTGTCTGCTGCTATTACCGCTTTCTACCCGGAATACTGGACTTGGGCCTTTTGTCGAATTGATGCACTATCAAGTTGGTCATCTTTCCATTCGCGACTAGGCGATGGAAAGAGGCCCAGTGGGTCTGGCTTCCCCGACTCGACTGCTACATCTGGAATGGGATAATGAAGGAACGAGGCGTTGGTAGATACCCAATATCTTCATAGATGATTTACTTCTTCTGTTTTCTACTTCTTCTGTGTCGTGTCTTTGCTTGGCTTCGTGTGGCCACCAGTACGTGAAAGGACAGTTTCGGCCTGCTTTATTGCAAGGGTTGAATAAAGGATGGGGAGGATTGGTCTCGATCACTCGTTATCTCTAAATGTTCTAATCGTTGGTGTGTTGCATTACCGCCTTCACTGTCATTACCGTGTCCATGCTCAAGAATGAAACTTTCATTCCCGGTGGAATGGTTATGGTGAAATACTTTTCGGTTCAATCTTTCCTCTTACTCTAAATTCCGTAGCTATCGTGGATTTCAAGCATCCTACAAAGAAAACCTGATATAATTTACGTAGCGCGTCTCTTATGGGCAAAAGGTTACACAGTTGGAATGATAGCTACTAGCTAGTCTATGGAAACAGAGCCGTGAACATCAAGTCGAGTCCGTCCTAGCTTACAATTCGCCGACTGCAGCTCGCTCGTCTGACACTCGCATACGAAGGAAGATAGCCACAGCCCAATCCCAGAGCTTGCGAGTAATGACAAACACGGGCACTTCGGGCTCATTTTCACGGGTCAGATGCAATTGGAGGAGAAGCGATGACATGCTGACGAAACTGGCCACGGCCACGACGAGAAGCGCAGCTGCAGTTTCACGCTTGATTGTAGCATGGTTCTGGGTGGCATGGTAAAGGAAGGTAAGGGTCTAATGTGGAAGAAAGGGGGCAAGTTAGTTTCAGATTTTCCGATCATCGAGGGTAATTATGCATTGAGGGGAATCCGGGAAGCTTACAGTGGTAATGGATATCCAGGCTGGTAAAAGAAGACGGGGGTCGGACGAAGCTCCAGAGAGGTAAAGGACCCAAGAAGTGATATAAGCAATCAAACCGTTTGTAGTAAGGAGACGAATAACAACAGCTGGTGGGGTATAGTTCAAAAGCCTGGGCATGTTAGTGATAATCTCGTCATTTTAGAGGATCAGCGAAAGCGTACCATCGAGACATCATACAATCAGCAAAAAAGTAAGAAAGATACGCGGATGCACTGCACTATAATCATAGTTAGACCTGTTCGCAGACGAGCATGTGCAAAGAAAAGGAGATAGGGCATTCACATACCCACATAATAGCCAAGGCCACCTCTGTTACCCGGAATCGTCTTTCAACATCCCAGTCTTGACTAACACTCCCGACAATCGCCGCCGCCCACCCCTCATGTCCCACGCCTGGTCGAATATGCAGCAGTTCGGCCAGGAAGGTGAAGGCACATCGGAGCCCCCACCACGCGGCAGGCACAGTGCTCAGTGCGCGACAGATCAGTAAAGGCAAATACCATTTCCGATCAACTCCTAGAATGACGGCCACCCGGGGATGAAGGGCAGAAGGGGCCGAATGACCAGCATCGTTGATACTAGGAGTGGGGGACGCGGAGGAGGCCGGGGAGGGCGGGACGACAGTCGAAGGGGCGGAGGAGGGGGCCACGGCTTTATCGTTGGAATCCACTTTTGAGAGTATGGAAGCCAGAGTAGTATAAAATGGTGAGTTGGGGGTCGTGGGAATGGAATCCGACAGCGAAGCAATCAAGTCAGGTTCAGGAGAAGACGACCGGGCATGAGACGAGAAGGATGGAGAAGCAGCATCACGATAAGGAGGAGCCAGCCTTAAATCCCGGCATATGCGGCCGTCACGCAGATATTACCCGAACAAGCGGCAGACAGATCCGAAGAATGAGAGTCGTTGGTGGTAGGTCCAGAGCTAAATTGTCTCTGATCGGACCCCTAAGCGGTATAGATTCTCTCTGTTGGTGTACGGCGAAACTCCACGAAACAATCAGGTAGGCGGTGCTTGTGTCCGCGGCGGTCGGTGATGATGGGGAAACGCAACGGAGGCCAAGTCCGAATCAATGAGCACACGCTCTTCCTGTCGTTCGAGAGAGAAGGCCGAGGAATGAAGCTGGGGAGGCGCACGACAGGCGGGAAAGTGCATGGAGAGAAACTTCATCAAAAGAAAGGGAAGCCAAATCAGCCAAAAAGCGAGTCTCGCGGAGAACCACCCGCCACGTGACCCGGGGCCGCTCGGCGGAATTTCTTTGGCTTCGTTTTACGCGCTTCATCTCTTGCGTCCAGCTCTTCCCCGGCCTCTGCGTCTTGCTCTGTTCCGTCTGTCGAGGTTTTCCCTCTGGCCGCTACTCTCGTCATGGCGTCCTCGCTGTCCAAGGGCCCCTTCTCGGCCATTCGATCCAGCAACGCTCCCTTCTCTGCCTTCTACTCCGGACCGGCCATTGCTACACCATGCCAACGCCGATACCTTTCTCAATCCTCTCAGCGCAGTGCTGGCCTCCGCGGCATGCCTCAGAACATCTCCATGCCAGCTCCCGCTCAACCTAGTATGCGGACCCGGGGTAGGGGTATGCCTAGGACGGATCTCCCCCAGGACATCGGACTTCTGCCGGGAACCTTCATCCGGCCGCTTTGGAGAGATATGCCCTCCATCTTCCAGCAACCCTCGGAGCGTTTACATATGGAATGGCTGTGGATCAAGTCGGCTTTCCAGAACTTCATTGGGTGGGTTCCCATCTCTCTTGGACCGCCGTTCAATGGCTGCCGACGTTCGGGCTGCTAACAAGACGACAGAGTCCTCGCCTACTGCAAATGGCTCAACAAGGGACTTGCACTTAGACTGAAAGAGCGCCGACAGATTGCTGCCGAATACCACAAGAAGATGTACACTGCATTTGCCGCGTAAGTGTCCAGTCCATTGGTTCCACTACCTTTGCCTCCCCATACAAGTCGTTAACGCTTCTCGCGAGACAGCGGCGATATTGCTACCCTACGCAAGGTGTGTTGCACCGGCCTTGCCAACCAGCTGAGCACCCGCATCGCTGCTCGTCCCAAGGGTGAGCGTGTCACTTGGAACCTGGACAGTTACATTCGCTCTCCGGGCACCTACTTCACCGGTGTTCGCGTTATGTCGGATCGTGCGACTCAGATTCCCGAAATCCCCAACTCCGGAGTTCGCCAGGTCGTCCTGCGCATCACCAGCCGCCAGTCGAAGGGCACGACGAAGGCGTCTCCCAACGGTGCCCCAGCCGATAGCACGGCCGTGGCCAACAACACTAAGCAGCAGGACTGCACCGAATACCTTGTCATTCAGCAATTCCGCTGGGCCGGCGAGGAAGACCAATGGCGCGTCTGGGGTCACGCTACCCCCACGACTGTGGAGGACCTGGAGAGTCCCTTCTTCGCCCGCGGCATGAGCCTGGCGGACCGTATGGAGGCTATGAGGGAGACGATGACTGGAAAGAAATAAGCCAGTCATTCAAGTCACATCCGATCTCCGTTATCGTGAACTCAACCCAACAATTGTAACAAGACCTGAGTGCTACCCAAGCCTCTTCCACTTCGGGGCCGCTCCTTGGACCAGCAAACAAGGGGGCCGTGGTTTCCAAGGCCCGCATTGCATTGTATGATACGCAGTGACGAAGCACAAAAAAGTGTTCATCTGTTAGCTTGTTATCTGCTACTACTACTACACATCATCTCTCCCCCCTCCCCCATCCTCTTGCATCTGCCGTTGGCTGCGGAATCACTGCTTCGCATCCAATTCGATTCTTATCATGTGTTATTGAGAACTACCCGATACCATGCAGTCGATTGATTCCTATGCTTTGTGTTTATCATTCATTTCTCGTCTTTGACGACAGACGGGCAATATTGGGGCTCATAGCATATCATTTCGCTGCGATTCTGTACTATATCTGATTGGCTATTATCTCACCAATTTGAGTCTTGTAATTATCTACACTTCAAATTACCTCTAAAGACTTGCAGTACCGGTTCTAGTAAGTTTAGAAAACTTAATTAGGTACTGTTTCGTATCCTGGTATCGAAGTCTTGGGAAAACCAGTAATCACAGCAGCCCACCCATCCCAAGGGGAATACTATGTACACTTGTAGTAATAGCAGGGATTGACAAGGACAATAAATAGAAGAACAAGAATGGAGCGGGTTAGATCGTAGCAAAAATGGGAAACGTGGTATTCGCGTAATATTAAGGTAGGCAAGAAGGATGGCAACGTTGGACTTTATCCAGTAACTTGCGTGTCGTTGGTCAAGGACGATAGATCTAGTCGTCGTCGAAGATTTGGAACGTGTTGACAAGGATAGTCTCGATGACTCGGACCTGCCAGCCGGCATCTGCGATGTTACCGCCGGAGTTGGCACCCATAAGGGTGGGTCTAGAAATTGTTAGTCGGCAAGAGATAGAGAGGTCGAGAGTGTCATGACTTACCCGAAACAAATGGCAATGTTTCCTGCATTCATCCGATTTTGTGTGTAATGCTCTTGGATTTTGTTGAGGTGCTTCGATGTGTTAGTTGAGAGGTCTTCGAAAAGGGTAGGGCTGAATTAGTGGACATACCAATACCAAGGCCCTCAGTGTAGCGTAATGAGCATCTGGAAGGTTGTTGACCAACGCGTGAAGTGAGTCACGGCGCTGGATGTCATCGTCGATGCCTGCATAAAAGTGGTTAGTTCGTGGTCAAACAACTTTGATTTGAGTTGCTTACGGGCGGCGTTAATGAAGTCAGTGTAGAAATGTGATGTGAACAGCGGGTCCGGCAGGTCTCTGAAGAATTGCTTCAAGAGTCCAGCTACACTGTTAACATCATGATAAAAGTTCTCTGGGTTGGTAAAATCGACTTGCGAAGAATCTACCACTCATTAGCTAGGGCTCAATATAAAAGTAATAAGTAGGGTGATCAAAACGCACCATTATCAAACAGCGCCTTCATGTGGCTGATATGAGTTGCGCTACCAGAGAGTCGATAAATACCCTCCATGTCCAATCCAAAAAGCTCAATAGCCTGGAAGCACTGGTATACAATCATGGGCACGGCTGTCCCATCACGGGTATATAGGTCATCCAAAGATACGCCAAACACCGGCTTCAAAGGAGGAAGATTAGGGCTAGGCTGGAAGCCATTCCCGGCTGGACCTAGCGGCGTCTTTGCCGGTAGCGCAGGAGCTTGATTTAGATGATGTTGCTCAGAACTCGACGTTGGGTAGGGAGGCTGGAAAGGCGGAGACGAGTAAGAATCGGGGTTTTGTGGATATGGCAATGACTCAGTGGCCGGGGGAGATGCAAGTGCCGGCGCAGGAGCGGGGGCCGGAGCGGGAGCGGACACTGGTGCTGGTGCGGAGGGTTGTGACGATGCTGGAGTAGAAGAAAGGAGGTTTGATTGCGAGAATGATTGGGGCAAGAACATTGACTGGCGCTTATTCTGCGTGCTCGGTTGCGAAGCAGGCACAACGGGCCCAGAAGATCCCCCAAGCGTCTGGAATTCAGGACTTAGCTAAGAACATCCCGGGCATCGGTACATGCAGGACTCACCGGATGACGTTTGTACTGAATCTGGTCTGAAGTCACAGCAGCAGGGTTCCGCTCATGGCTGAGAACGTATTCGTTGAAGTCCTTCTCATTATCGATTTGAGACACGACTTCATACAAGCTCTTTGGAGCAAGAGCCGGATTTGCCGAACCATCCTTCAACGGGCTGATGGCCAAGCCTTGTCCAAGTAGCAGCTTCTCGTTGAAAGTTGCTATGATACCGTTAGCATAATATCTTACAACAAAGTGTGGGCTTCGAGCGCACCGAATTTCTGCAACTGCAGTGTAAGACCAGAATCGCATTCCGCGATCAGTTTCTGGATATTTTGTACAGCCTGAGGTCGAAGGGTTGACACCAGCTCCTGTCGCGCCGACTGTGCAGCCTGGACCTTGGAAGCATAGTCAGAGTCAGCGTTCTGAACCTTGCGCAGCAGCTCTTCTTCATGCTGCGCAGCCGACTTGTGACCCTTCAAGCCAAACTTCCCACCCTGCTTATCGCCAGTCTTGACCCGGTCGTATTGTTCAGCAAGCGATTCGTATTTTGCTTTTGCCTTCTCCGCAGAAGTCTCCGCTTCCAGGACCCTTTTCTCCGCACTCAGTCCGGTCTGCTTCCATTGCTTACGGCCCCGCTCAATATTGGACGCGAGTTCATTAAGATCATCAGCCATCTGCTGCAGAGACACGGAAAACTGAAGTCCGTGGTCCGCCATGCGGTCGTGGAAACGATTGAGTTCATTGTAATTCTGACTGTAAGTACCTTGGCGGTTCTCGTTGCGATAAGCGGAGTCGTGAAGGGAACGAGAGAGCTTGCGCAAGCCTTGCGCATGCTCTTCCTCCAGAGATGATCGTTTCTTGAGGAAAGTAGAGAAATCCTATAGCCATTGACGTCGTCGGTTAGCGTCCGTGTGCTTTCTTTGTTACCCTGACAGCAGTGGGGGTGGAACCTGAAACGAACCTTGGCCGAGGAGACACTTTGCTTCAGTCGGGTCAGGAGAGTGGTGACACCGATCTATATATGAGGGGATCTTTCGTATCAGTACGTCACGGTCTATCTCGTAAGCATGCCATGGACATCACGCACATCAGAATAGACGACCTTGTCCAGACGACCCTTCAATTCTTCCGACATAGGGGCTGGACCGGGACGGGGCTCTAGAGCTCCGGGGTGGCCGGTAGACCCGGCACTGGACGGTGGCGCATCGGGGTCATGCGCTGGACTATCGTGTAAAGCGGAGTCTGCCATGGGGGGTTGTGCGGGAAAGGCGTCAAGGCGACTAATGAGCGAAAAGATAGAAGAAGCACAGATGTACTGAACGGGTAGGTTGAGGGGGAAGGAGTGGGAGTGGGAGTGGGTATATAGTTTGATAGTGGTGGATAGTAAGAAGCTCGGGGGTTATTGCGGAAGCCTACGAACTCCCGACAGCTGGAGAGTTGCTATTCCGGGTAAGGCTGCCGTGGGGGAGGCTGAGGTGGTGTGTGTGGCTGAGGCACTCCAAAGTCAGTGACTGGTTCCTGATGATGCGTTTGTGTTCCTTACCGTAGTCTACTTTGGGGCATCGATCTACTTACTTGATGGATAGTAGTGATATCACTTGCATCATTTGGTTTCCATCTTTATTGCAGAGATTGTTATCTAATTATTGGACTCACTGCATATCAGACGATTATTTAACATGTGCAGTATCGATACACACCTACGTCATTTGTCTGGAATGTCAGATACCAATGATCTGTCCTACGGTGCTTCGTTCCAGACCATATCTCTTCCAGGTATCTAAACCTATTTTTTGTGTATCAAGAGTGGAGTATGGAATGTACTTACCATGGGTACTTGGATAAGCTTTCCTCAGTTCTAAAACTGATTGCTGGATCGAAAGAATGCTAACTCGTTCCGTCTTCCCATCTTTATATAGTTAGTTGGTTGACTTCAAATCCAGGCAGCCCCAGCTGACTCAGCTGCAACCGCCGAGATTCGCGAGAGATTTCCTCCGTCGCCCACCAAAACCCACCCAAAGTTTTCTGCCGATTTCCGGCACCTGCACGCTGGTTCCTATCTGCTGCGCTCATCATTTTGCATGTGTTAACGGGTCCCGCGGTTCCAAGACCGTCGGTTGTTTCTTGATTTATACTGATGGATCTGGAGTTCCGGGGTGTCCTCGCACCGACTGGGTTGGCGACGCATGCCAATCTGATAACACCCCCGGCCTCCTCTAGCGACCTTCGGAGCACCCCGAGGCTGCCCCGGCCGGTGACAGGCTTCGACTTCGCGTCCAAAAATTTAGACTCTTGCGGCATGGAGAAGATCCCCGCCATCACGGGCAAGCGGAGGGGTGGCTGTAGAAAGGCCTGTAATGAGTGTAAACAGCAAAAGGTAAGCTAATTCTGTTCCCGGCCTTCGCTATACTTTCTACCATGTGTCTCGGATGAGAGGATCTATGCATATCACTATCGATGCTTAGCTTCCCTCCTCCTCCACCTCGCCCCATCTTATCTCATCTATACGACTGGCTGAACATGGACCTTGTCGATTTCATAGCTTCGATGCGACATTGTGCAGACTCCCGCGGACGCTTGTTCGCGCTGCCGCCGGCTTCAAATAGAATGCAAAGTCGAGCCCACTTTTAAACGCATCTCGAAACGAAGGTAGCCTCTCAACCTTTTGTTCCCTCTCCCTATTGGACCTCGTTGTGCCTGACCAGTCATATATGCAGGCGTAATGCTGAAATGGAACGGGAGATCGCAGAGCTCCGGCGGCGGCTTGCTACTGGTGATCAGTCGCAGTCTGTAGAAGCCAATGGCAGCGACGAGCTCTCCCAGTGTTCCGAGGATGTATTCTGTCCTGATGCGGCAGTTGCGAGCAGAGCGCGGCCGCTGTCGGCGCCGTTGGAGCCTCAGCCTATGGCTACCCCTTTGACCATGCACAGAGATGGGTCTATTCTTTCCCAAGATGATAACCCATGGAGGCTGGAAGATGTCTCGCTGTCCAGGACAAGGGTTGCCCGTCTGTTTGAACAGTAATATACCTGCCCCACCTTTCCATGCTACTGTAGCTTACAGGCATCCAGGTTCTTCAAGTACTATCACCCGTTTCTTCCCCTGTTGAATCCGCAGAAGCCTCCGGATGAGTATCTGCGCCGCTGTCCTTTGCAGGCTTGGTCTATCATCTGTGTCGCTAGCCGACGAGCGCCCTCGGAACCCGGTCTCCTCAGCGCGCTCTCGGGGCCTTTCAGCAGACTGCTTTGGTCTACCATTACCGGAGTTCCCCAAGACTACCGTGTGGTCAAGGCTCTTTGCCTTCTCTGCACCTGGCCATTGCCCACTACCAGCCAGAGGACTGATGCTACCTTTATGCTGAGCGGGCTAATGATGCAGATTTCCATGCAGCTTGGGTTGCACCGTCCAGTCCAAGCGGAGGAGTTCACCACTTTCCGGATGGAGGTTCAAGGCGAGGCCGTCAAGGATCGTCTGCAGACGTGGGTCATTTGTAACATTGTGGCTCAGAAGTAAGTCTGCTGATCTCTATCGCTGGCACATGCTAACTGTAACAGCGTCGCCACCGGCTACGGACAACCTCCATCAACCATCTACGACTGGGCACTCGAGCCCGCATCGCTTCGAGATGCAGACTATCACCCTTCCGAAGACCTCAAGACTCGACTGCGTATCGAGAAGTTCTGCGACCGTGTGACTAAAGCACTATACAGCAGCAAGCCGGACCCGGTGGAGTTCATTAGCTCAGAGAAACTGCTGATTGTACAGCTCTTGGAGAATGAGCTTCGGGACATGGAGGTTGAATTTGGCCGCGATATTTCCAGTTAGTTATCCGCATGCTTTGATATGGTTTGGCAGATACTAATTTGCCCTGCAGACATTAATATGATCCATCTACGAGCAGCTGAGCTGCATCTACGATATTTTGTATTCCTAGGCTCTAGTGCACGAAGTGATGATCTGACGAAGCTATTCATCGCTACCACATCGTTCCTCGGTCGTGTGCTCGACCTGGAAACCTTACCTGGAGAGCTTATCGGGCATGCCACCAACTACATTCTGCAGATGATTGTTTCCGCCGCATTTGCCCTTATGAAGCTGCTGAAGAGTGAATTTCGACGCCACATTGACTTTGAACATGGGAAACTGTTGTTCAATGGAGCCATCTCGGCTATCAGGAGAATTAGTGTCATGGACCACGACCGTCCAGTGCGCCTGGCTGACATTCTGGCGCAAATGTGGAATGCTGGTAGCCCCGAGGGCCCAGCAGGAGAGGATGCCCTGCAGCTGAAAGTGCGCTGCCGGATGAGCATGAGCCATGTCTATGATACTGTCTGGCGTTGGCGCCAACGATTCCGCCCTATGAAGAGCATTGAGGATCCGCAAGGTATGTACATCATAGTCCCGATGAGGATAGTATCCACTAACTTGGTATAGCTACTATGGCGAACCCTAGTGTTTCCGCGACGGCCGGTCCTATGACTCGGCAGCAGCAGGAAGAGGCGCTGGCGGACCCGGGATTGATCTACCCACCGAACTTCGACCAAGGGGCCTTTATCAGCGAAGCCGGGTTTTCGGAGGTCTTCGATTCGCTCAACTGGGTCTTTGATGGAATTCCGGACACGTTTGTTGCCCCCCCAGTCATGTAGGCCAAGTCACGCATTGCATCTCAGGCGTCGGTGGGAGTTTCTGTTTCGTGCGGATTGACAGCAGTGTACACACAAAAAGAAAAAGCTAAAACCGGGTGATAAAATGGACAAGAGGATGAAAAGGAAAGGCATTTATATTTCTGTGGATACCTTGTACGCTGTTCTGTACATATGTTCATGCTTATGACGTTCCCACTAGATACCATTGAGAATTGATAGCGTTAAAATTGACTAGACAGGATGCTAGAGAGTTCACGGATCGGAGTAGTAATTGTGTCACCCAATAAGTTAGACTAGTAACCCCACCCTAGTGGCCTATCTTCCTCTCTTCAGGTTTTCTTTCATACATTGACAGGCCGATGGAGACAGAGTTAACTACAAAGAAGGATTATTGTAGAGCTACTGCGATAATGACAACTCTCATCCGATCACCAACTTTGACTTGATCAGTAGATAGATCTGCCACCATGCAACGACGACGATGATGATGGTGGTGGTGGTGAGAGAAAGATACTTTTAAGTCAGTACTACTGTCGGGATAGGCCCGACCCGATCCAGGGTAGTACCACAAGTATAAGCACCATCATCTTCTTCTCTCTCGTCACGAGACCAAATCCCAAAGTACCATGCTTCAAAGTACCATACTTACTAGACTAATTCTCTTCCAGGAAAAGATCAGGGAAAATAATGCCTTCATGCCACGCGACAAATCGGGTGATGAAACCCAAGGCTTGCAGATGCCCAGAATAGGCGACCTCCAGGACGGACTGCCATTCGATCGGAAGGGTGACCGGGGCGCCCATCCTATCTGCGGTTACAGCAAGTAACATGTAGACTACTGTAGGTAGGACGCATCTCTAAGTGGTGTAGGCTGGGGGGTGTGTTTTTTATTTCTAATATTAGAAAGTACTACTGTACTTACTACTTACTTACTGTCTGTGCTTGGTTGGTTGGTTTAGTGGTGGTGGTGGTGGCGGTCAGACGTCTTAACTAGTTGGGATAGAAGGTAACGGGATGGGATGAGATATGGGATGGGGATGGGATGTGGTCCGTGGGTTAGGAGTTAAACAGTACTAGACGATTGGATCCAGAGTCATGAACTGTGCGGTTGGTATCTATGGCAGCATCGCCAATGGATGCGTTTCTTTCCCCCTGAACCAGCAGCTCTGCAAGCGCCGTCCCTTGGCTCCCAGCGGTCGATCACCCAACCCTCTCTCTCTCTTTCTCTGCCTTTCCGGAGATCTATCTTCCCTCTGGCTGGGATGGGATGGGGGAAATCAAGATAAAGGGTTGGTGGTTATGATGATGATGATTATAATTAGTATATCTCATTAGTTAGTAGGATAGAAACGAGGGATTGGTTGAGCTGGAGTGATTGGTGGCAGGTCGGGGATACTCCCAGCCATGCTCCTCTCTCCTTCTCTACTACTTACTACTACTACCACGACTACTACTAAGTTACTCACTAGTCAGGACTAAAGAGCGTCAGTGAGCAGCAGCAGCAACACTAAGGAGACCGACCAAGACTCCCCCCATTTCTTTTCCCTTTCTTTTGCTTCAGTCCATGATTGGTGATAATCCGTGATACCTGTCCAGTGGCTATCTTTCCAGCAAGGTGAGCTATCCAGTAACTATCTCTTCATCCACCCATCCTCATAGTCATTATTGTGGTTGTTCTTCTTCTTGTTCTCCATCCCCAACCAAGATTCTCCACCAAAAGCCGAACTGGAACTGATTGATCCATTTCCATTCAACTTGCCCCCCTCCTAGTCTGCTACTCTCTGTCTTCTTCTTCTTCTCTCTCTCTCCCTCCCTCTTCTCTTTCCCTTATCCACTCCACTAACTCACTAACTAACCAACTACTTTCTCACCTTCTTCCTCTTCCTCCTCCTTTAACCCCTCTCCCCCAAGCTCACCTTCCATTCGTCTTTTCCTCCCTGTCTGTGTGTGATTCAGTGCTGCGTGCAGTCTGCCCTTTTTATTTCTTTATTCATTTCTTATTATACTATTTTTTCTTCGTGACTCCCTCCTGCTCCATCAGCGCGGTTCGAGGTTATCATTCGTGTCGATATTCTTCCGTGTCTATCTCCGCCTGGGTTGCGAATTCTCCTGACCGGTTCAACCATTAGCCTTGCCCTTTCGCAGATACCCGCTTTCGAGTTGTCCCTCTCTCTCTCCGCCCGTCAAGCCACTATTCAGTAAACACTCGCCCAATAACACCCCCCCCCCCCCCGTCGCTTTAAGCTCCCTGCGATAAATCCAATACCCTCTTCGTCCCTCTCGCCCGTGTCGCTACTACTGTACCTATATATTATCGAGGGCTACTTCCCCATCCCTCGCCTCAATTCGACGTGACCATGGCCACTGGTCCAGCAACTCAATCCCTCAAGGTCAGCATCATCCACCTGCGTGTCCGTCTGTCAGATTGCGGCTAACGGAGCGCTGGTGCACACAGTGTGTGGTGACGGGTGATGGTGCGGTAGGAAAAGTATGTTGCTCCCCTTTCAACCAGCTCGACCTCTCTCTCCCCCTCCCTCCCCCCTCTCGCTTCCTAGATCGGTCGATTTCGTTATCGCTGTTGCTAATCGAACAATAGACATGTCTCCTGATTTCGTACACGACCAACGCTTTCCCCGGCGAATATATCCCTACCGTGTCCGTACCCCCTTGGTCCCTGATACTCCTCGTCTGATGCGAACCTCGTGTGTTGACCGGATTCCCCCAGATTTGACAACTACACCGCTAGTGTCATGGTAGATGGCCGACCGATTAGCTTGGGACTCTGGGATACTGCTGGACAGGAAGATTACGACCGTCTTCGCCCATTGTCCTACCCGCAAACCGACGTCTTCCTGATCTGCTTCTCCATCGTTAGCCCGCCGTCCTTTGACAACGTTAAAGCCAAGGTGCTTCCTTCACCATCCCTACCGACCGGAGACCCGCTTACTGACCCTGACGGATGTAGTGGTTCCCGGAGATTGAACACCATGCCCCCAACGTCCCCATTATCTTGGTCGGCACCAAGCTCGACCTTCGAGACGACCGTGGTACCATAGATGCTCTCCGACAGCGGAAGATGGAGCCCGTCTCCTACGAACAAGCTCTGGCCGTGGCCAAGGAAATCCGGGCACACAAGTACCTCGAATGTTCGGCCCTGACGCAGCGCAACCTGAAGAGTGTATTCGACGAGGCGATTCGGTATGTTCGAACAAACCCATATACTACTGGAATTGGGGGACTAACGTTCTCATAGCGCTGTGCTCAATCCCCGGCCTGCGGCCAAACCGAAGAACAAGAAATGCGTGATTCTGTAGATCGTCCCAAAGGGACATGTTCGACTTCCCAATAATATAAACAACTAATACGGCGTCTGGGTTACGGGGCCTGTGCCGGCCCCATCTTGATGATCCTTTTTTTTTCTTCTCTTTTTGCCTTGTGTGCCCCGTTCCTCGTCCATTTTTGGTGCCATGATCCTGATGTTGTTCTCTATTTTCTTCGGGTTCAGGATAACCTTACCTCTCATTGTCCCCCTCGCCTCCCTTTAATGCAGTATAAAGATGTAACATGCCATACAATACCACTCAATGAACGTGACTTACGGGTTTCTGGGGTTTTACAGATCTTACTTTCACGGTTGGTTGGCTACTTACTATATGAAATCTTCGGTTGTAGGGTAATCATCCAGATCTATGTTATATTCCGTGCCTGACTTCTCATCACCATCCAAAATATGCACATCAGAAACAGGAAGAGAAACGGAAGAGGATATCTCTTAAGCAAACAAGCAAAGACAAGATACTTTTTAATCCAATGAGTTCAAAAAGACAACAAACAACAGCAGCAGCAACAATCATCCGCTACGTCTAAGCCATCCGGGGCCTCCGACTAGGATGAATATGAGCATAGTCATCCACACCCGTCTCCTCGACCTGCTCTAACCGCTTCTTCTCCTTCTGGATTTCCTTGGCGTTGCGCTGTCTCTCTTCGAAAAGCTTCTTGTTCTTGGCCTCGATCTTGTCTTTCCGGTCCTTGGAGTTACCGCCACCGCCGGCACTACATAGCATATATGTCAGTTTGCTGCTGAATATAATAGTGGGTATGTAGAACTCACGTCAACTCTACATTAATCCGTCGCGGCGGGTACTTTCCATCGTTGAACATGGAGTGATGGTACAGCTTGAGACAGGTCTTCATGCGGTCGTAGTTGTCGAACTCGATGAAGCCGAAGCCGCGGCACTTGGTCGGCTTGTCGACCTGGGTGGCTACGCGGACGGAAACGGGGGCGATCTTCTCGAAGTGCTTGGTGAGGGACTCTTTGTCGGCGGAGTAGGGGAGGTTTCCTACACGAATTCATATTAGTATCGTGTCGAGTCTATAGGGGCATCGGGAAAGAGTTGGATACGTACCGACAAAGCAGATAAACCGCACATTCTTCTTATTCTGCTGTTCCTCCTGCTCAGCAGGCTCTTCGGTCTGTTCGCTGGTAGGCTGAGCCTCGGTATTTGTTTCTCCCTCCTGCTGCTGCTTCTTCTCCTTCTTGGATTTCTTGTCCTTCTTATCCTTCTTCTCCTTCTTTTCCTTCTTCTTCTCTTCCTTGGTCACCTCGGGCTCGGCCTCGGGCTCCTGGTTCTCTTTCTCGGCGGGGGTCTCGTCGACGTCCATGGCTTCGGGCTCGGGCTCGGACTTCTTTTCCTTCTTTTCTTTCTTCTCTTTCTTCTCCTTCTTGTCCTTCTTGTCCTTTTTGTCCTTCTTCTCCTTCTTTTCCTTCTTCTCCTTCTTCTCCTCCTTCTCAACAACAGGAACCTCCTCGACAACTTCCTTTGTCTTGCGCTCCTTCTTCTCCTTCTTCTCCTTCTTGTCTTCGCGCTTGGCCTTCTTCACTTCGGGGGAGGTGGCCTCCTCGGCGAGCTTGCGCTTCTTGTCGCCCATTGTGAATTAGAGGTATTTAATTAGAGGGAATAAAAGTAAATATATGAGAAACTGGTATAGAATAAAAGTGTGGGAAAGAGATCGCAACAAGAGTAGATTGATCGGCGGTATTGGAAATTTCCTTTTTTTGCCGGGCGGAGTTGGGAAGCGGTGAGTGGGGGGATGTTGTGGTGCCTGATTATGGTTTTGGTGCCTGGTATTCAGAAGGGGGATGTAGTTTGTGCCTTAGGCATTAACTTAGTATAGGGCGATTATTTGTATTCACCTGTTTATGGTAAGGCTTATTGATATTTATATGATTGATAAGTGCATTGCATTATTCCATTCATTTAATTGATTCTATTCATGTCTATTCAATGTCTGGTTTCTATTCAGGCCTAATCTCCTGAATACAGGACTAAAGGGTATATGTATTCATCTTTTCTGCTCCCAGCTTCTTCCTCTTCTTTCTTCTTTCTCCATCTCTACACTCCATCGTCTGCCATTCTCTGGATGGTCGAACGAAGCAAGATACTCTTACACTTACTACTAGTAGTAGTAATCTACTATGTATTTACTGGATATTAGCCTAGCATAGACTGGTATCTTCTTTCAATTACATACGATCCGAGCTTAACAATCACTACTAAACTCTACATACTATCCACGGGTTGATAGATCCTCCAGAGTGATGCAACAACTACAATTCCAAACAGCTACTAAATATGGAGTAGTGCTGAATAGATGCGACGATTACTACACCTGTAGAAAACTCCCATGCTTGAAAATACTCCAGTGATACTACTTTATATTGTTCAACTCCCCTGATGGCTCTATTGGCATCAATACTACAAACCTGCGATATAAGCAGGCACGCGCGAGGTACAAACGGATATCGTATATCGTGTACCCGGGGCTTTTAATGCGTACCTCGCCAGTCACTGGCTCTTTTATTCCTGGGGTGCGGCAATGTCACTACTATATATATCGTCGACCAAATTACAAGACGGATAGAGACGCAGCTTTGTGGGATTGGATCTCGCCAAGCTCCATAAACACAACGTCTGAAGGCTTACGATTCTTAGCACAAGTGCCTTGTGGAACTGATCATACCATAGTCGAATAAACAGCACAATTGAAATTTACTCTCTAGAGTTATTCTCTCTCAAGATATGTAAGTGGAGCAAAGATTAATATCACCGCACGTTCTCTTACCTGATCAAATACCAGAATATTGTATACTCGTGCGGATGTACCACCCATGGTCCCTTCAACCAATGCCCACCAAGACAGGGAACAAATGCCAAATGCGCCAGCTTGGGCCCAAGACAACAACTAGCCAATGTGGGCAACTATTGCCCAAAACTCCTCGTAACAAGGGAAGCAAGCATCGCGGTGTTTCCTCAGCACCACGGTATGAGCACGTACGCTATCATTGGCGTAACCCATTATTTGAAGCATGCTTCGAGTCAGTTTCTTATCACTCTGAACAATCATTTTACTATGTGGCTGGCCTCAAGTTTTGCAAAGTTGAGGACATATGTGTCTTTCAATACGATGCAGAACAGCAATATATGTCCTTTAATATACATTCGGTCTCCACCATGGGCCATTGGTCCGAGATATTAATTATGACATATATTGGGGCTTTGTTCATCCTCAATCTGCGAACATAGCATCTCTTCGCATGATATCATAGTATGTATGTTTCTTGTCGTCATGTGTCCCTGGAGAGTGGAGAACATTCTACACTGCTTTTGCCCGACTGAACAGGTGATCAGTAGACATGGCCATCGTTTAACCTAAAATAAACTTGGTCCGGTGGTCAAACGCATTTCGGGTGGTATACAGCTTCGACGCTGCCATGATCCATTCCATTGGGTAAGATCTGCCCCCGAATGGCCTCTAGTTCAACAAATCATATGAGGGGGTTGCCTCGCCTTTACTGTGGGCAGACTGATTATCTGACCCTTTTGCTTTGGGGACTTCTTGAAGTTCAAGTATGACCTAGCCTGTCTGCCGTCAGCTTTCCTTTTGTCTAGCCTCCCAAGTCAGCTGTTTTCAAGGAAGAGAATGGTGCCTGGTTGGAAACAATAAGCCTTAAACTATGGCTGTCTCCTCAAATGGGTGATCGACCGATATATGCAATACTTGAGCATGCGAGGTCTCAAATCCACTGTTATGAGCTGATGACAAATGGCCAAAGTCAGTAACTCAAGGAACTTAGTATATTTGCACTGCGTGGTTCTATCGTTCAATTACAGCTACCCATGGTTGTTCTGCGCCGCGATGCCTTTGTATCTCTTGCTCACTGCTGACGAAGATAGAATGTCGACTAATACTGAACGGTTCAATGCGTTCTACGAGAGATCAATCCTGAGTCTAGTCGGCTAGGGCTTATCGATACCCTGCAGAAGTTATATTCTTCCCCAGAGGGTCTACACCAACGTCCGACTTAATTAAATCAGTGTTAAATACTATAGAAGCAGCCGCCGAACTGGATAGCAATCTTGGTGCCATGACAATGTTAGTAAAGCGGCAAAAGTCTTCAGACCTCGGCTTTTGATATAGAACACATGAATCGGCAAGCGTTATGGTAAACGCTGCTAACGCAGCAGTTGGATTATATTCAAATAACGTTGACGAAGCGTCCTTACTGTCCGACGCGTTGGAAGCAGCTTTCCAGGAGTTGCAATCCTGGCTAGCAACAAAAACATTCAAGTCTCATTGTGGCTTACTATCTTGAGACCAATCTGCCTCTACAAGCAGCAGGAAAATCCATTGTGACAGGCGTTAAACAGTGGACACAATGGTTGTCAACATTGATTCCGCAGGATATAAAAGACATCAAGATTGAGGGTGTTTTCAATTCGAAATTGTTCTTGCTGCTGCTTACAATGCCAGCTGCTGTGTAGAATATGCTTCGCCATTATGACGGCTTTAACTTCGTCAGGAAAAAAATAGTGAACGCGGTGAGTCCTTTGACACTGTTGTAACGAAGTTAGTGTCTGCAAAATTGGCTGGAGATACGAGATCTGGGGACTTGTTTCAAACAGAGAGGGACGGATTGCTGGAGACGATCTGCCAAAATGTCTGATCCCGTTGTCGACTGGAATACCCCGAGTGTTGACTTTATATTTCTACCGCCACTCCTGTCCACTAGAGCAGAAACAGCTGAACCTAGTGTCGGCAAGCATTCCCCATGCCAGTGGTGAATTTGCAATGGTAATAATCAATAGCGTTTGTATCTCATATCTCAGCATCTTACATCTGATATCTTAACTTTATGCGGTTTCACATTTTTGCATCTTTATGGTTTGTGCTACACTGCTGCATCTGATCATTCTGCGTTGTCTAGAACCAAAAACCGGTAGGATTTTACATCTCAAACTAGGATTGGATGGATGTTTCCTTGTGTTGTATGTTTAGAACCTCTCGTAGTTGGGATAACTAATCTGAATGCCGGAGATTGTCTTCGTCGAACCGGCATTATCAGCCCGCAAGGCTGGATCTTTGCTGACTCCTTTTTTCTGAACTATTACTGGTATAGAAGGCCTACCAGATAGTCTGCCAATATTAAGTCTGGATGGCATTGAACTATTGCTATTGTATTTGAGTATCTTCATGTCCACGGCTGGCATAGCAACAGAGCCCTAACAGGCTGGAGTTGCTTAATAGTATGTATGTGTTTTGGGAAAGAGATGACCGGATCTTTCCCATATTACGTAGTTCAAGAGGAAATTTTCTGCGATTAAACTCTAGTATGGTTGATGCATCATTCACTGTAACGAGACCGGGTGATTTCCCGTCCAAAAGTGCTTTATCTGCAAGCCACAACAGCGTCAAACAACCTGCTCGACAACTACACTACCGAACATAAATGAAATGGATGGCCTGTTCTAGTGTATTCCTACTCCCCATCACTGCTATATTTGCGTCTGCGTCAACATACATACAACTCGAATCCCATCCACCAATTCATCCTGTGCCATCTGTGACACTAAATCATGGAGTTCTGTTTCCTGCCAGTACGGAAGCATTTTGGCCCCAAAAAGCCTAAGAAACCTTTCGTTTATGCAAAAGGAGAGGCCCCATTCGAAAAGCTCCTGCCCGAGCTCTGGTGGGAAGTAGTCACCTACCTCCCGACAAACGAAATGCTTGCCCTTCGGCTGATCTCCAAAGAGATGGAGAGGAAGATATTCACCCTCGCTTTCAAACTCATCCTGCCGCGTCTACCGACACTCCATACAAAGCTAACTCGCTCGAGCATTCAAAAAATCCATACAATCGCCTCGAACTCTGAGCTCTGCCACATCCCACGAGCCATGCGAGTCGTGTATCCATGGCGCTATCTCTGCCCTGGTGAAAAACTCAGCGCCAAAAGCGAGTTCATGCAACTTTCCTTGAAATTACCAGAGATCCATACCCTGATGAACGACCTCAAGTACTCTCTCACCAACTGTCGCAGCTTTGAGATCTGCATAGAGGCAACAGTGACCCAGATACAGGCCGAGAGTGAATACATCAACATCTTGCTTCAAATTCTTGCCGAAGCCGACATTAATCCGGAGCAGCTTACCTTTTCTGTTCCGCCAGATCGAGCCAAAATCTTAGTTGGCGCTAGCTCTAGTAATGCCAGATCATTCTTTCATATTAAAGAGCCTTGCGACATGATTCGCGGCTGGACAAACCTACACACCCTGAAAATTGTCGACGACGAAGCCATTCGCTGTGGTGAAGCTGTGGAACCCGCTGTCTGCCAGATCCTCAAGGAGGCGCCGTGTCTGGAGCGCCTCATCTTCAGCGAGAGTTGCAAAACTCCTGTACGGAATAGGAACTCCCTGTCACCTCTCAGTAAGGCCGGTCCTTTCCCTCGATTGAAACATCTAGAGCTTCATTCTGTTGCCGTCCATTCTGTGGACCTCCTCAGATTGTTGAGAGTCAACGGTCGGTACCTGGTCTCCGTGGGCTTCTTCGATTGTTGGTGCCACATTCCAGTGCGCTGGGAATCCTTACTTTGGCTCATGAAAGGCTATATGCCCAGGTTGAACTCGTTCACCCTCCAACAGTGTGGTATCGACCGCTCGAGTCGACCTTACACTTACACATACGAGGGCCCAGATATCGGGGATATACTGGGGAAACTGAGATTTAATTTACGTGGACATTATTTCTAGTAGTTCTTTTTGTGCTGGAGGTGAGACGTGCATATTAGTGTTGTAGATGACATGTCTTCCAGTATGCTTTGATCTCACGTTGTATGATCTAAGTGTCGGGAAGAGTTAGATTGGAGTCGTTGCTATACTTCTGAGCAAACTAACGACTTGCAATAACATATATATCAAAGGGATCTGCTCAGGATACTGATAATATACTTATGTTAAGCTGAAGATAACTCACAGTAAAATAGTAAAGCAGTGATTACCATCTAAGACACCCGGTGGCCACCATATACATCTTTTGTCCCAATATCCCGTCAGATAGTGGTACAGAAAACTTAACGTGGCAATGACTCCTGCCAGCAATAAGGGTGTTCAAAGTCGAGTAACCTACATACAGGCGAAGAATGTTGACATAGGTTGGTTTCAAGGAAAAAAGTACTATATTCAGCTTGGAAATTATGACGTACGGGATTTCCGGGTCATGTTGGCTCAACTGGGAACAACTAATGACTGCGTCAATTGAAACCAAGTCCCCTACAAATGTTATTTTAGAAATTTGCGCATTCGAACTCGCCTTAAAGCGTTCTGCATGCATGTAGTGAGAAAAGGTGATAGGTATATCATGATATACCTTGGGGAGAACTGGGAACTCTGGTAACAGGATGACGTCCCCAAAAACAAAAACCAGGATCCCATCTAGGTTTTTCCCCCGAACCTTGCGTGTTCAAACCCGTCTGAAAGCGTTCTGCTTGTATGTCTTTCTTTTTTATCATGTGTCTTCCCAGCGGAGGATCTGTCTCTTGTCGCTATGTTTCAAAATCCTGGAGATGCCGACGGCTTAGAAGACAATGAAATGGAGATCGGGAATAGAGACAAACATCAGGAAGCTCTTTTTAATGATGGCAATGACAAAGGTCCTGCACAGGAGACTGCTGAGAGTGTCAGCAGTAGTAACAATCAGGCATCTTCCTGATACTGAAGATGCTGAGGGCTTGAGAGAAAGATATGTCCCAACGAGCAAGCCTGTCTGCAGCATAAGTGCACTAATGTAGCGGAGCGCCTGCGGGTCTTACTGCCTAGACTGAAAGCTCCACTTCCCTATGTTGATAATGGATGCCAGCTCTATGCTGAAGTTTAATACCACGGTATTGAAAGCCCTACACTGTAGTCCTTCTTTCTATGGCTTCACTGCTGTGTTTGATCTATTTAAGGTACCATAACCATCTTTCATCTTCTTCTCACAATTCTTTCTTATAATTACAGACCAACCTCCTAGAAACCCGCGGGACTCTAGCTTATAATATTACTTTTGTTTCAACCGTATAGTCTCAAGGTCTTTAGCTTCAAGAATAATCAGTGTGAATGTCACTTTTGTCTTCTATGAACAACTCCCAGGTTTATACATGAGCAAATAAAACGATGCCAGCCCGTTCGTAACGCCATATGATATACCCAACCGCTAAAAGACCAAGATCTTAATCTTCTTCTCTGCTGCGCCGTACCGCTCCCGGAACTCTGGCCGTGTGAGAAGCTGCAACAACGGGAGGTGCGTTTCCTTCATGTCGAAGATGCCTCGTTGCTTCTGATCCACGTAGGATCCGTCAATGACAATGCGCTCTAGTTCACCCAATTTGAGGGAGCCTGTAACTATTAGACCTGCTTCAGATATCAATAGTTCGGCTTCAACATACCTGCTTCAATAAGGTCCGAGATACGAGCAGGGGTACCGGCTCCAATGCCCGTGCTATTGATCATTAGCGATGGTCATAAATCATACAAGGAAAACGTACCGTGCGCGCTCCAGGAACTGCTTGGCCTCCTCCAGCTTGATATGCTTGGCGAACAGCTTTCCGACAATAGCTTCTTTAGTCTGGAACGAACGGAGAGCCCTTCAGAAATATTAGCACTGCCTAGCACTCCTCCCTACCAGTCTTCATGACTTACCGAACAACGTCGGCGGCTCTGAGCGCAGCACCAGAAATAACCAAAGTGTGCGGGGTACCCTTCTCCTCCGATGCCTTCGCAAGGTCAGCTCCCTTATTCGGGCTGAACGCCTTCAGGAACGCAGGAAGCTGCTCCAGAGATCGGGTCTGCTCGAACGACGACGTATCCAGGAACGCGGAATCTATTCCTATCAGTACTCCAATCTCCAGTATCAGAGACACCAAACTTACCCGGCACAGACAGATCACTTAGCTCAACCGCACTCAGCTCCTTGTTATGGCGCCTAGCCTTCTGCACGAAGTGATCGGCCAACAACCGGCCGTCCATCTTTCCAATCGCTTCATCGATGCCGCCCTTGGTCTCCGTCACCTTGGTATCGGCAGGCTCCTTCTTAGCGGGCTTCTGATCCGACTTGCCCTTGTCATCTTTCTTGCCCTTGCCCTTGCCCTTGTTCTTCCGGTCATTGAAGTTCTTGCCGCCCTTGCGCTTCTTGTTCGGGCCTTCGCTGGTGCTGCCAGTCGGCTTTGCGTCGTTCGGCTTGGAGTCTTCGGCCTGGCGCTTGCGCTTCTTGTCCACCTTGGCGGCGAGGGCGGACGGCTTGGGAGTTCCGTCAGACATGTTTTTGCGATCGCTGGACAGTATTTCAGAGGTACGGCCGAGATGTAGTCTTCAATGGCACAGGATTAGCTGTGACAAGCGTATGATGTCGCTGGCCGTGCAACTTTTTCTCTCCTTATCGATAAGAAACAGCACCAATCAGTGGGTCTAACTGGGATTAGTTGACCGCCTTCCCTTCTGTTCCGCTGCTGCTCGTCTCCGAGACGCGCTCCAGTTATCACTTCAGCCATTCAACCCCTCTTCATATATCGCCAATATTGGCTTCTATTATCATGAACGGCTGGCATTTTTACTGAGCGCTGATAATTGCTACTCAATAATCTGATTGATGCGATAAATCCGCATCCCGGCTAGCCAATGGCGACCACACCAAAGCCGCGTCGCCGGTCACCCCGAGTGTCTGATGCCTCGGAGGCATTGACTCCAGTAGGAGACACCACACTCACAGGGGTAAGCTGCTCTCTCCATCTAAAATATGCCTGCTAACTCGGTCCCAGCTACAACGCCTTCCCGCTCACACTAAATATCCCCTGACCCCCAGCCGATTCGCATCCACCACCCCCTCCGCGAACCGATACACCCCGCGAAACAGGGGCGCCGGCGCGCCCTCCACGCCGTATCGAGTGCAGGCGCTGCAGCGACGCGCCGCGAACACGCCCGGACGCGATCGTAGACGAAGCGGGCGGATCCAGCGCGAAACGACATTCGACATCCTCCGGAACCTGGGGAAAGCTCTTGCTCCGACGACCCAGCCTATACAATCCTCGCCGCAGGAGCCAGTAGAGCCATCGCCAGAACCAGAAGCGGAGAGAGACGAGTTTGAGGAGCTGGATAATGAGCCTGAGATTGAGCGCCCCCGGTTGTCGCTGCCGCTGGATGAGGTGGAAGATGTAGATGAGGAGCCGGAGATGCGGCCACCGCGGTTATCGTTGGCGTTCGAGGAAGAGGATATTACGGTAGAGTATCCTCGACGGGCTACGAGCGAGTATGATCGGAATAGATTGTCGATGATGAGCGTGGGCGGCCCTCGCATGAGTGAGATTGGGGCGGCGACTGGGTTAGAGAGTGAGAGTGATGAAGGGGATGATACCGGGATTGTACATGGTGGTGATTATGGAGGCGAAGATACCGTTCTTACACAAGGGGATTTTGATGGAGGGTGAGTACTATGCACATTGGGGGCGATCCGTCTGCTAACGACCATACAGAGGAGAAACGGAAGATCTCGGACGGTTCAACTTTGAATTTAATTTCCCATCGCCGCCTGCTCCTGGTGCGGAATTGGACCAGGATGAGCCCATCCACGACGATGAAGGCTTCGAGCTTTCCATGGACATGCCATTGGACACTGGTGCAGTGTCCGATGATGCCGACAGCGTGTCCATCGCTGCTGGCGACTTTGGCATGGAACTACAATCGCCGCCGCCCGCTCCGGTGGCACTAAGTGAGAGCCAGAGTCCAGGGATTGCGGGAGGGGGTCTGCGGGACGAGGACCGCTACATATCCGGCGCGAAACAGAAGAAGCTCTCCCGACATGGCATTCCCGTGCCCAACCTTCCCGTCGGAGTCGTGAAGAAGCTGGCCACCCGGTTTGCGCGGGCGCGGAACGGGTCAAAGGCCAAAATCAGCAAGGAGACACTAGCCGCGATTGAGCAGGCCTCATCGTGGTTCTTTGAGCAGGCGAGTGAAGATCTGGCTGCGTATTCCAAGCACGCGGGGCGCAAGACCATCGACGAGAGCGATGTGGCAACCTTGATGCGGCGGTAAGTTAAGCCATTCTGCCATTCTTCTACATGGTATACTAATTCAGTAGGCAACGGCACGTTAACCAGTCCACCACGGTCTTCTCGCTGGCGCAAAAGCACCTGCCCAAGGAGTTGCTGCAAGATATGAGATTGGCCATGCCACCATGATGGTATAGATATACAATTCCTATAGATACAAGTCCAGACGCCGTCCAGCATGCGGGGCATGAGCCACTACCAGTTCCGGTTCTGACGCACACGCCGAGTAGCCTCGTTGGGACGCTTGCGGATGATCATCCACAGCATGATGGAGGTTGCCAGCGACAAGCCGTACCTGCGCAGCCGTTAGCCAGGATCCATGCAGCCATGCAACCATGCAGCATCCGGTGAGGAACGAAGGGAAACTTACCAAGTAAAGATATACTGGCTGTGGTTGTTCTTGAGGTTGACTTCAGCAGCACGGCCAATAGGAATACCCTTGGCCTCGCGATCCATAGCCTCGACCATATCGGGGACTGATCCAGCATCCTAGATTAGCTTCTTCATCCCAATACATAGCCGAAGCCAAACCAAGCCGAAAGGACAAAGTGAAGCAGGAAGAATAACATACCCATAGTCTCCTCAATCCAAACGGGCTGACTCCCCGTCAACTCCGCCATCTGCTCAATATCAGGGAAATAAAACTTTCCCTCAGCCGGCACATTATCCGGCGTAAACATATTCTTCTTCCACGGTTCCCTCAACAATCCCTCCACCACGACCTCTCCATCCGGCAGCGCCCTCCCTTCCCCCTGTCTCAATCTATCCCTCTTCTCCTTCATCTTCCGACTAATCCACCCCCGATTCACCAACACCGTACTCCCACCCTCGCGCTCCAGCGGCGTCACCACAAAGAACCCATCCTGGCCCTCCCGCATGCGCGGACCCACCAGCATCTCCTGATCATGTCGCAGCGTCCCCGTCGCGACGACACGGCGGTAATCGAACTCGGAGATCGCGGACGGGTCGACCCGCGGGGGTAGAGGCAGCGGGGGCTTGATTAGCCGGTCTTCGAATTTGGCAATTAGGTTCGTTTTCCAATCTAGGCGTTGAATTTGCCATGTTCCGAGGGCGAAGGAGATTATGGGGATTAGTGCTGTATTTCATCATTGTATGTTAGTCTATGGTTATGAGGTTGGAATGGATGGGGTTATGGCGCACCGAGAATGATCAGTCCCGGACCATGTTTCCGGCCTGTGCGGACGACTTGGGAGGGGGCATCGACGACGGAGAGCCAGCGCTGGTCGTCGGTAAATTGGTTGTTGTTGTAGAAGCGAAGCTGGGTGGTGTTGTTGGTGCGGCGGAGGCAGCGCGTGCAAAGGGAGTCCGGTCCTGCTGCTGTTCCTGTTCTGTTGAGAGCGGTGCGCAGGATTGAGGATGTGGGGCGTAGGGGAGTGGTTCTTGAGCCCGTCCGGGAGAGGACGGAGAGGAGGGAGCGCATTTTGCGCTGTGTTGATTTAGTTTCCGGTGTAATTGATTGAGTTGGAGTCAGTTGGTGAATGAAGTGCCAGTGGAAGAATGAAGAGAGAGTGCGGGTCGGGACGGGGTCTTTTCCGCCGATGCGGATTGTCGGCTTATCGATTGCGGGTGTCAGTCTGTAGCTCCGTAACCACTAGCTTCAGGTTGTCATTTGTTTACTTCACTTACGCAGAACGCGAGACGCAATATGTTCTACTCCGGGAGCTTACAGGAGGGTATTGCTGCAGCGGTTGCTGAAAGCAAGGCTGTTGTTTGCTTTGTTAGAGGTTCGTTCATCTACGGCCATTGGAAATGGAGGGATGCTGGAGCTCGGCGATACTCCGCAGTACTGACACGGCTACTTAGATGACGAGCAGGCGAGTACGGAATGGGAGGAGAGCTACTTTACATTTGATGAGGAGGTCTGCAGCACATTCGATACACATATTTCTGCATCTGCTAACGCCACGCAGTTAGCGCAACTGCTCCAATCGAGAGCTGTCCTCTTGCGCTTCACCAAAGGTAGTCAGGAAGCGGGCTTTCTGGCCTCCTTTTGTCCCATCGTCAAGTTTCCCACCGTCGTCGTGATAAAGTATGTGCAATAGTACTTGGGTTCTGGGCGTTGCTGATCGTCGCAGGAATGGTATGATGTGCGATTACTTCGTGCCGGACATTTCCAAAGAGGACTTTCGCGATCGCCTACTTGCGAAGCTGGATGAGAGTCGCGCGCCGGTTCAGCAGGATGTAGGGAGTGCAGGTGCTGCTGGGGACGAGACGGTGTCTGCTCCTGTGGCTTCTGATGCTCCTGCGCCGGCACCTGTGTCTTCTGCACCTGTACCGGCACCAGCGCCTGTCGCAGAGCCAGCTCCTACACCAGCTCCAGCTCAGCCTGCACCCCAGCCCTCCACAACCGAGCCAGAGCAACCCCGCGATGCGACTATCCGCGAAGGGAAGAGACGAGTAGATGATGCGCGAGTCGAGCAACACCGTCCGTCCCCGACGAAGAAACTCCAACAACAGAAGCAAGAGCCAGCACCTAAGCCAACTCCCCGACCAGCCACACAAGAGAGCAAGCCTAAGCCCAAGCCCACCCCCAAAGAGAAGCCATCTGCCCCTGCCGCGCCCAAGGAACCCACCACCGAACCCGCTGAGCGGCGCCAGCCCTCCCCTCCGAAGCAATACCGTCTCCAAGTACGTCTCTTCGACGGCAGCTCCGTGCGCTCCAGCTTCACTCCCACCCAGACCATCCGCAACGACGTCCGTCCCTGGCTTGACAGTCAAATGGAAGAGCGGAGCCCCTACAACCTCAAACATATTCTGACGCCTCTCCCGAATCGCACCCTCACCATCGCCGACGAGGAGCAAACCCTAGCTGAGCTGGGACTCGGCAGCTCCGCCAACCTGGTTATGGTCCCGATCCAGTCCTATACAGAGGCATATTCCGGCGCGGGTGCGAGCTTGCCGGTCCGAGCGGTGTCGTCTGCCTACGGACTGGTGTCGTCGGCGGTTGGTACTGCGACAGGGCTTGTGGGATCATTCTTTGGGTATGGAACGACGCAGTCATCGGGTAATGAGGCTGCGCCGGCTCCTGGCACGGCTTCTTCGGGGTCGAACGATGCGGGACGCAGGCGGGTGAATGCGTCCAGAGGACCGATTATTCGGACGTTGAGGGATGCGCAGAATGAGGGGGATGATCGGCAGTTCTATAATGGGAATCAGGTGAGTACTCTACTGTTGACGATAATTAATGATATACTGATGCAGTTGTTATCTAGTTGAACTTCCAGCCTCGAAATGATGGAGACAGACGATGAGCCGTAATGTAGTGCGAATATACTTGGGTTCTTTAGTGCTATGTATGTATCAAACTCCCACTTCCTCTGCTTGTAGCGAAGCATGTATGTACCTCTATGAGAATGATGCCAAGTCTGTCTTATCATCTGTCATCTACTAGTCTACCATAAGCAATAAAACAGAAGCACATGAAGAGTGGAATGATCCTTTTTTATCTATATTTTCAGTTCCTGTCCATGCATGCCCATCACAGACATAGCCAACCCCATAAAATAAGGGTAGTAACTTCCAAAGTGGTATATGTTATACAAGGGTAATAGATAATAATAAAATAAGAGAGAATAACGGGCTAATCCACCACTATGCATATATGCCCATCCATAAAAAATCATTCATCTCGTCCACCATCCATCAATCACCAAAAAACCACTCTAGTACTGCTTAGCAGCAGCCTGGCAAGCTTTCTACACACACACAAACAATAGCCATTAGCAATCATCCACAATCACCCAATACGTCTCTCCCACCAAGAAAGAAAGAAAGACAGAAGGGAAGAAGGAAAACGTACCAACTGATCCAAGTACCACCCACAAATCGTCAAATCACCCTTGTTCTCATCCATGCACTTGCGGAAGTTTTGCGCATCCGTAGCACAAGCCGGCGCCTCCCAAGAGCTGTTGGTAGCGTTTCCAGCCCAGAGACCGTTGTCCATGGCCTGAGCCGGAGCCGGCGCAGCCTGCTGGGGAGCCTCAGCGGGGGCACTGGAGCCGCCACCACCGCCGAAGAACATTCCGCCGATGGCATGGCCGATGGAGGAGCCGACGGCGACACCACTATATTATTTTATACATGTGTTAGTTTTTGTGCTGGTTTGTATGAGGGTATATGTGTGGCAACGTACGCAGCAGTCGAGGCCATCTGGCCGAAGAGACCGGGGCCCTGGCTTTGCTGGACGGGAGCAGCGGCGGGAGTGGCAGCGGGGGCAGCAGCCGGAGGGGGAGCGTGATGCTGCTGGGGGTGAGCAGCGGTGGAGTGAGGCTGTTGCTGCCCGTAGGAAGGGGCGGCAGCAGGTCTGGCGGGAGCAGCGGTAGGGCGGGTGGGAGCGCTGCGCGCGGGAGTAGGGGCGGCACCACGGCGTTGACGAGGCATTTTGTGTGGTTTTGTGAGAGGGTTTGAAGGTTGTAAAGGTGGTTGTTGTTTGTATGTATGAAGGGTGTAAGGGTAAGTGTTGGGAATGCGGGTGGAGAGAGAGAGTTGTTTTATAGTCGGAAAAGAAGAAGCTCGAAAGTCGGGCGGAGAAAGTTCGAAAACTCCGATCGCCTGGTTATTCTGCCGTCGCTGATTGGTTGTTTCGGACGTTAGGTCAGCTGCCGGTCCCGGCGCTTACGGTTGATCGTTGCTTTAATACCGAGGAGTTAACAAGGTAGGTAATGAGGGATATTATTATCATCTGAATGGTTCTATTGCTAGTGGATGAGATATTGGGCTACTTAGTGGAGACCATGTTCGAGTCTTACAGAGCAGTGGATCTGAAGCTATCCGCACTTGTCTGCTTAACTCCGGCAGTGACTCACTGCATCGCCATGATCCACAGGGCTGAGCATGAACATCCTCTCCTGTCAGTCACTTGCCACTGCTTTGACTAAATGAAATCGTATAGTAGTCCATGGAAGATTTCATCCAATCCTACACCAAACCTACTGTGCACCACGGTATGCACCCGGATCTCACTATTCCTGTCGTCTTTCAATAGTCTTCATTGAGGCCGTCCTCTATGTGGTGGGTATCATCATTCCATGTGTACTTTTAGTAGTGGCGCGGTAGCAAGCCTGTAGACAGTACCTGCTACTGGGATGGTCGCAAATCACTTGTCACCAAAGTGCTGCAATCCCAGTAACAGACAGCCCATTCAACCGGTCCAGCCGGCAAATCGACATAATATCGCTACCTCCTCATTTCAATTTCTTCGTCTTGCGCAATTCATCCTTCTTCTTCCTTCGCTCCTTCTTGTTCTCATTGTGCTCTTCCTTGCTGACCCTCCTCTTCTGCTTGTCCTTGCGCTTCTTCTTATCATCAGAACCCTTGCTCGACGGCTTGGGAGCGGGCTTCACAAGCTCCTCGGACTCGGATTCACTCTCGGAGTTGCTGGTCGCATTCTGCGATGACTGCTGAGACGTAGCACCTGCTTTCTTAGCCAGTATTGACGCCTTTAGCTGTGCGCGTGCTCTCTCCTTTGCCTCCTGCTCCTTGCGCGCCAGGTCGATTTTGTCATTTCCCGCCTACCAAATTAGCCTCTACCCATTGAAGCCGTATAGGATAGGAGGAACTCACAAGACCATGTTTAATGAAGCGACTGGCAGCCTGCTTGTCAAGAGTTAGAGTACGCTTTTCCGGCTCCGCTTCGAGCGCGGTGATCTTCGCAAAGTATTGCTTGACTCTAGTTAATTCTCTAAACACGGAGTGTTCCTTAGCATTAACGCCATGAAGACGCAGATACGCTGTAGATAATTAGCAATTGATTTCCTTCTAACTGCAATAGTGACATACAGAAGATAAGAGACTCCAACGCATAAGTCACCAAGACGTGAAATTTCGCTTTATCCATCACCGGAAGCTTCTTCGACGTCTCCACCACAGAGCTGTCCAGGATGGGCTTCAAAGCCTCTTCAAGATCGTCGATGTTATCATCCAGCTGCTCGAGCAGCGGAAGTAGATCTGCTGCCTCCATTCTGATTATGTGTACGAATATCTGAGGGAATAATTGATGATGTTCGAGTTGAAAAGAAGCGGATAATGTCGATTTTTTATCTCCGGGCGGTCTCCAGGGCGGTGAAGAGCTATTTGTCCGCCTTCTCCCTCATGCGATGCCGAATTCACTCTCGATCTATATCTTTCATTTATTTGCATAACATTAGGACTGGCAGTCCTTGGGGTAGTTATCAATTGCTCCATCTTATAATGAGACGGTGATTCACTCATCACCTCTCAGCTTGGACGGCGCCTGAACTTGGACTCGCTGTATTTACTCTCCAGCCGTCAAAGTGTCATACATACTGGGTCGCAGTCCGCTTCGGCGGACGGCAGTCTGCGAATTATGCCTTATTTCGAGGCGTAATTCGCATCCAAAGTCATATAGTCGACTCATGTCGACATGGATGCAGAATGCTGAAGAAGCGTCGAAAGATAGTGGGAAGCGCCGACTATCTGGACGCATACATATCCTAGGCCTTGGGAATGTAGGCACATTCGTTGCCCACTCTCTCGCAAGTCGTCCGTCTCCTCCGCCTGTCACTCTACTCTTGCATAACCCCAATCTGTACAAGTCATGGCTGGGGAGGAAAAAGTGCTTAGCGATTAACTCGAATGGATTGGACGATATCAAGACGGGCTTCGATGTCAATGTCCTGAATGGCAAAACATGGCACGCATTCCCATACTGGGATAAAAACGGGAAGAACGGGGAAGCCATAGCTCGAGCAGACGAGATCGATGTTGAAGGGTCCCTGGCCGAGTCTGTCCAAGATGAGGAGCGCATTGAATGCTTGGTCGTTAGTGTCAAGGCGCCAGTGACAGCTATGGCTTTGGAATCTGTTAAGCATCGTTTGACACCCGACTCTACGGTCCTACTACTTCAGAACGGCATGGGCGTCATCGATGAGCTCAACGAAAAGGTCTTCCCTGATCCCCGCAAACGCCCGAACTACATGCAAGGCATTGTCTCGCATGGGTTGGCTCGCAGGAAAGAACCCTTCCAAGTCGCCCATACGGGCATCGGCACGACCATCCTGGGACCGGCCTTGCCCTCAAACTCAACATCTCCGATCAGTGAAAACGAGGATGACTGGGCCGCTAGCACCAAGTATCTCCTGCGGACCATGACTCTCACCCCTCCACTGGTTGCTGTCGCGGAGACTCCGTCCGCTCTTATGCTCTACCAGCTTGAGAAGCTGGCGATGAACGCTGTCATTAATCCGTTGACGGCGTTGATGAACTGCGAGAATGGAGAGCTTCTCTACAACTACAGTCTCACGCGCGTGACGCGATTGCTCCTTCATGAGATTTCGAGCGTGATCTGCGCCCTTCCCGAACTACAGGGCATCCCTGGTATCGAGAGCCGATTCTCCCCGGAACGACTGCGCTGGATGGTTACTCAGCTTGCCAGCAAGACAGCAAAGAACCACAGCTCCATGCTGCAGGACGTACGAGCCGGCAAGACGACCGAGATTGAATACCTAAACGGCTACATTGTGCGCAGAGGCGAAGAGCTCGGTATCAAGTGCGTGGTGAACTACATGATGAAGCACCTGGTTCTGGGCAAGCAGCACACGTCGAAGCAAAGAGATGCAAGCGCCATCCCGATCGACATTCTGTAGCCTATCCAGCACAAAGCATCTGTGTACTTATATTTGAACCGATTGATATTTAATATACCCCTTATTTCCACTTAATCTATTCGCTTTCCCCCTTTCCACCCCCACAAGAATAGCTCATGAAGAAGAAACACGATCCACCGCCTCCTCACAAAGCCCCCTAATCTGCCTCCACCTCTTCAACAACATCCTAACCACGCCCTGATCCTCCGTCTGCGCAATATACAAATCCTCTAACCGCGCAATCGCCACATCCGCTTCCTTGATATACACACCAATCCATCCCCGAATCACAGCCGCAGACATCTTCTCGTCTACCCCTTCGGTTGAGTATCCTAGCACATAGTCCTGCCAAAGTCGTAATGGCATGTAGGTTAACCCGGCGGCGATTTCTGTTCGGTAGCATACGCCGTCGGATGTGAGTTGGTAGTTCCTGTGTTTGGTTATGGCTTCGTTAATGGTGTTCCTGAGGACAGATATGTAACGGACTTGGGTAGAAAGCGTTGAGGTAACGTACCCGTAGTACTGGTGAAACTCGAGTTCTTCTTGTTTTGATGCGTTTAGGTCTTGCAGGATTATCTCGTCGAGGTAGAGGGTTTCGGAGGCGTTGGTGTCGAGGTAGAAGCCGTCTAGATGGGTTAGTATGAGGTTATGGTAGAGACGCGGTGGTATTGTAGGGGATGGGGGCTTACACTCTGTGAACAGGAAATCGTTCGAATGAGGCCCGTAGCTCATGTAGATTTCCTCGCCTTCGTCTGTACATCATTTGTAAGTATACCGCTATCTTCCTCTCGTAAAATGATAAGAGAGAGGTAGAAAACGTACTATACTCCTTCGCCGCACGAAAGACATACTCTTCCCCATCGAACTTGACATTACACTATCCATCCACAATATCTCATGTTAGCCAACAAGTCAACCTACACAGATAGAAAGGGAAGGTATGTACCGCTACATCCGAATGGTTAAAATAATCCGCAAACGGCACCAATGCCATCGCATCATTCCTATCCTCTGGCATCTCCGCCCCCGGCAGAAGATAAAAGAAGCTTCGCGTGTTCACAATCACCCAGTGGTACGTGAACAGCTCTTTATCTGTCTCGGGAAATACCCGGACAACGATATCCCATGCTTTGCGGAGACGGGTTTCTTGTGCTTTGAGAAGGTTTTGATGCCGCGTGTCGTACTTGTGTTTTCGTTTGCCGGGGGTTATGGTGCTCCAGGTGTTGGAGATAGAGGGGGGGAGGAGGTCCTGGATTTTGCTGGTCTTGCTGTTGGGTGTAAGAGGAGAAGTTGGAGACCAGAGAATCGGCATGCTGGAGGTAAAATCTTCCATCGTGGGCCAGGTGTTGCGCCATGGTTTTAGGTGGGAGGGACTGGCGTTGGTGAGGTATGCGGCGTAGAGGGTGTGGGTTGGTGTGTCTGGTGGGAAGCGCGAGGTGAATGTGGATGGGAGTTTGGAGGGCGTGAGCATTGCGGAGTGAGGGACTTTGACGAGGATGGAGTCTTTCTGTTGATATCATACAGATGTTAGTAAGTAAATGATTGAGGGGTAAAGCGTGGGGGAGGATGGGGATCTTACTTCTATCTTTCGCGTTGCTATCATACCGAGACCGCGGCCGGGGAATCGCGCTGGGCTGACTCCATTGATAACGATGCCTTGTGTTTTGGCCCATTCTGTGAAGAGCTCGTGCTGCTCGCCGGGCCACCAGGTGGGTTTCATGTTGACAGTCGGTTCAGAGAATTGAGGGGTAAGTGGTTGGTGTCGAGGGAAGCAAAGGATAAAAGGTGGATGAGTGTGAGGGGGCGAATTGAGAGCAAACAAGGACCCCCTATATGAACCGGCGTGATTATTCCTAAAGATATGTATATACAGCAAACACCAATGCCTTATGTATCGCTCAATGGCAGTCCAAGCAGAGACGATCAGATGCGCCAAAAATCCGCCGATAAAGAAAAAGATTATCTTATCGATCTTTATCAGCTCTACGGCACCGCACATCCTCCACTAGTGTCGTCCGGCTCCGAAAGCATTCCATCGTACCACACCTTCATCTACATCCATCCGGCCCAAGGAATATGTCCATTGCGACGTGTTACCCTTCACTCGACACACGATGACAGTCCTCCGGACGCGCAGCGCCGTCCAGCACGCGCGCGAACTAAACAATTTCCTTTCCTGCGCAGCACCGCTGTCGCTCCGCTCCCACTCACGGCCGATCTCCGGCTTCAACCGTCCTCCGCCCAACTATCCCGGCCATGTGCCATTGAACTTTGTAGAGCGCGGTGCTCTGGCCGTCGGGTCAGCTGTGGGGGCTCTTCTCAATCCCCGAAGAGCTGGTACATTTGCTTCACTCAGGTTCAGGTTATAACGTTGTAACTAATATATCACTAAATAAAAGACCTAATCGCCGCCTGCGGCGAAGCCACCGCAACACCCTACTTCATCTACCGGCTCCGTGACGCCATGCTCTCAGACCCAACAGGCCGACAAATTCTCCGCGACCGACCGCGCATCACCTCCGAGACCCTCAAACTACCGTACCTCCGCTCCCTCCCTGAGAACACCGTCGGCCGGACGTACGCTACCTGGCTGGACCGCGAGGGCGTGTCCCCAGACACCCGAGACAACGTGCAGTACATTGATGACGAGGAATGCGCGTATGTCATGCAGCGGTACCGGGAGTGTCATGACTTCTACCATGCTGTGACGGGACTGCCGATTTTTGTGGAGGGAGAGCTGGCGCTCAAAGCGTTTGAATTTCTGAATACGTTGATTCCTATGACTGGGTTGAGTCTTTTTGCATCGGTGAGGTTGAAGCCGGCGGAGCGGGAACGGTTGTTTTCGATTTATCTGCCGTGGACGTTGAGGAGTGGATTGCGGAGTAAGGAGTTGATTAATGTTTACTGGGAGAAGGTGTTGGAGAAGGATGTCGGGGAGTTAAGAGAGGAGCTGGGCATTGAGAGGCCGCCGGATATGAGGGAGATTAGGCGGATGATTCGGATGCAGAAGAAGAGGGAGAAGGAGTTGATGGAGCAGAGGGGGCAGTGATTGTTGGGTGTATTATACTTTTATTCCAATTTCCTTGGAGGGAACTATGGCTCTGTATTATAAGATGAGGAATGGCCACTTCCTGAATGATTACTTGGCCAAGTATTATTAGGAGCTGCTGCTCGACTATCGAGACGGAGAAACTGTACTTTTCATGGCAGAACAGCTGCGCCGCAAAGCTGCTCTGCAATCGGAGAGCTGGAGGTATCATTGAAAATGGCAAGCATTCAGCACAAACCGAACACCCTTCGCTAAAAACACATCTCACAGATCCAACAGGTCGTCGTCATCATCCCAGCCGCCACGTCGGTTAATCACAATCTTGTGCTCCTCCTCATCCTTGCGCTGGTTCTCGGCCATGGCGTTCAGCAGCTGCTTGAGCTGGTCCTCGGTGACCTTCTGGCGCAATTGGCCGGACTGGGCGAGCATGATGAGACGGGATTCGACGTCAGCAGCGCGGGATTCCTTGACAAGGCGGATGCGACCCAAACGATCGGCGGCTTCGGGCTCGAGGATCTGGTTCAGGATAGTGGCGCGACGGTCGGCTATTTGTGAAAGAATAAGCAAATTGTTCGAGAGAGGGCGATGTAGGCAGAGAGATTCCTCCAGCATGTCCTATTCTAATGGGCTATGAGATTGCGCATACCTTCAGCTTGCCTAAAGTGGAGCGACAAGTCAGTAAGGATTTACAAGCGCAGAAGCAAAAACAACATCTGGGAAGCATACCTTCTCTGTTCCTCCTGGTTGCCGTCCGAAGGGCCACCACGTGCGCCACCACCCTGTTGCTGAAGCTGGGCAAGACGGGCCCGTCTGATCTATACCACATTTAAGCATTTGATACGAAAAGTGTCGAAGGTGTGGACCCGAAGGAGATTCAACAAGCATGAATGTCCATGGAAGACTGGGAAAGTTGAACGTAGGTGGGAAGGTTCATACTGACCTCTTCAAGCTCTGCGTCGGCCATGGCTGCTGATTGTGCTATGTATGCAAGATTCGAGGAACCAGGAGGATTCTGAAAGCGATGCGGGGTAAAAAGTGACGGGATGGAACTCGGACAGACTGAATTGCAGGCCGATGCCGAAGCGGGGAGATTATCCCAGGATTAGACTCTGGATGATTCGATGCATTCCTTCTTGGAGAACTTTCCAACCCCACTTGCTAGGATGCCTGCGAGCCTCAGGCAATCAGGCACATGAGTGGGGCGCCATGAGGCCGTCGGGCATCCTGGCCCGATCCGGCAATCATTAGTCCGCAGACCAGTACTAGTCTTGAACTGGGGTGGCTGGGCACTTGGGCCAATTCATTACACACAGCATAGCACAATTGCATGCATAGTACGTATGTTCAAACACAAATGTTATTCCTGAATATCTACAATAAACAGGCAGATGACATGGTCAGAGTCAAATCTGCAGGCCGAGGCTGCAATGCCAACAAACCCGACTATAAACTTCAGGAGAAACTAAGTTGAGTGTTGTCTAAGTAACTTAAGTTGTCTGCAAGTGTCGTCATCAGGTGTGCCAAGGAGGAGCTGCCTTTTTGAGCCAAAAGAAACCATCCACCGCCGAAGATCCGGCTGATTTTGGGCGAAAGATTGGCTGATTGTCCCCAAATTAGAACGCCCCAATGTCGCACCCAACCGCACCGAATGGATCTTTGCGCCCAAACTATTGAAAAGCGTGTGAAGAGTTTTTTTGCAGGTAGGGAAAGCTTATGAATTGGAACGAGCTCTGAAATTTCCCAAGAGGCTCTAGTCACCGTCTCCGGAGGCCCTTGCGAGATCGGGTTCCGTATCGAGATCGTACCTAGTGGGAACCATTAAGCCGGATGAGAACGTGGCGCGAGTGATGGGGGAAATAATTACAACCACCCATACCATACGTAATCTAGCAATTGGCGTTGCTCTCGGTCAGTCAGTCAAACTTGGTTATAGTAGTATTAGCAGTAGTAGTAGTTGCTTAGAAACTTCCCCGCCTTTTCCCTTCATCCACACCGAGGAATGAACCAAAGGAAGGAATGGCAGCCAGCCCCAAGCTTTAAGCCGGCCCTTGTGATTGTCCACCACCGGAGACGCGCCGGGAGGCGATCGACCTTCCTGACTTGGTAATCCCTAAGCGCCTGTGGTTTGCCTCCGTGTTGATGATTGGCCCTCTGCCGAGTGGACCCGGTATCGGAACCGTAAATACGGCAGCAGAGCGGCGATACCGAGTCAGGCGTACTGTGGAAATGTTACTCTGTTACTGTTACTGACTGACTGCCTGCCTGTTGCGACCTGAATCCACTTGCCGTACCAACTCCGGCCTTGCCTGCAGTCGTGCTCTTCTTGTTCTTGTCTCTGTTACTCTCTGGTCGTCGTCGTCGACCTCTTCTTATTCTCCTCATTTGTTCTTCCCCCCGGTCGCTGACCACCTTTTTCTATCTATAATCTACTTTTAACTAATTTTACTAGCTTACACTAATCTTCCCACTAAATTCCATCATCTGCCTTGACGAAAGAGGGGTTACGTCCACTGATTACCCGCTAAGACGTCTCTCCCTTCCTTTATCTCCCTCAACCGGCTCTCGCCTCCAGTTAATCGTCATCCTTCCGGTCTATCCTTCCCTACTTATCGCAGCCTCTCGTTCATCCACCCCCTCTTTCAGCGGCTTCCGCTCTCTATCGAATTGCATTTCGCTCCTTTTCTGCGACTCAATGCTTCGTTCCCCGACTGGCTGATTCCTCTCCAGTCTGCGCGCTGGCGGGGACGTCACGTTACTGCTTCCCCCCCTGCTTTAATCCTTTCATGCATATACCCTCAACCAGCCCTTGTCTCTGCCAGGATTTGCAGATGCGAAGCGTTGCCGGTCTGTTATATACGTGGTTGTGATACGCGCCTCCTTCTGCTGTGATACCCTGTTCTGCTGCATCTGCCGTGTCGACATCTCACGATCACCATGGCCGAGTATGTATATTCACGCACCTCCAATGCAGTTAGCCTATGCTGTGTTTGCTTGCTAATATTGGTGGCAGTTTTATTGCTTTCCATACTTATTACTCTCGCCACAACTTCCTATCCCCGTCTACGATGCTGCCACGCCCCACCAGCCACAAACGGTCGAATTCCTCCGAGAACAACTCTCTCTCCCCCGACAAGACCGTCACGAAAGCCAGATCCACCAATGATTTGTCTGGAACTGCCACTGCGAAACCGACACCGGGCGTCCGCTCGTCCAGTGTCGGCAATTTCCAGGAAACCAGCTTTAGCACTTTGAAAGACCCCAGACTTGCGAGCCACTCGGAAGACTCGGAGACGCCAGAGTCAACTCAGTCGCATCATCCAGATCTGAGCAATGAGGTTGCAGCGTTGAGCGTCAAGTTGGTCCAGGCGATCAACAATCAGACGACGCTTGATGACAACCTAGTCGCCACTCGTCAGGAATTGGAGCAGGCACAAGCCAAGATCCGAGTCCTTGAGTTGGAAAACCAAAAGTACCAGCGAGACATTGATCAGGAAGTCTTGATCAAGAAGTCCGACGTGGACTACGAGATGTTGCGCTTACAAGCTGCCTTGGCTGAAGAGAAGGCTCAGCGCGCCCTTGTGGAAAAGGAGAAGAAGGGCATTGAACAAGAATTAGAAACACTAACTGCCGCGCTTTTTGAAGAGGCCAACAAGGTAAGCTCCCTCGGCGTTTGTACGGTCGAGTCGATCAATTGACTTATTACCTTTTGAACAGATGGTCGCAGCGGCCAAGCTTGAGCGTGAGGCCGTAGAAAAGAAAAACGAGCAGCTGCGCTCGCAAGTCAAAGATACCGAAGCACTACTTGCATCGCATCAAGAACAATTGGCCGAGTTAAAGTCCGTTTTGCAGGGACTCAACATCGCCAAGGAGGATAGTGAGACTCGCACAATCATCTCGACAGCTCCATCATCACCAACTATGCCGCGGCATCCTTTGCACATCAGCAAGAATTCTGATATTCCCGACATACCAGAGGAGATCCCAACTCTAGAAGAACTCACTCCAGGACCGTCCACCAGTTTCCCCCATCTGATCAAGCCGGTCTGTCGAACCGATATTCAAGCTTACGAGGATTTTCGGGAGCTCTTCACTACATCTCGAGCTTCCAAGCCTGCCAGTCGGGCCACAAGTGGGTCTTACACTGGCTTGAACGTCATGAGCTTGGCTAGTGGGTTTGGTTCAGCGTCGTCATCTCCCGCCAAATCTCAAACACATTCTCCTAATGGAAGCGTGTCTTCCCCACAGCCCGTGACTTCCCATATTCCTCTCAAGGAGACCCGCTTCTACAAGCGCGTGCTTTCGGAAGACATCGAACCGACCCTCCGGCTTGATGCTGCGCCCGGGATCTCATGGCTAACGCGGCGCTCAGTATTGAGCGGGATCTGCGATGGAACTCTCCTGGTCGAACCCATGCCGCCTTCAGCAAAGAAGTATGAGTTTCCTTGTTCAATGTGTGGCGAGCGCCGAAACGGTCCCACCAACGAGAGGACCCATCGGTTCCGGACGTCCGATAGCGAGACCGCCCAGCGATATCCGCTGTGTGTACTGTGTTTAGAGAGAGTCCGTTCCAGCTGCGAGTTCACTGGATACCTCCGTCTCATCCTTGACGGCCATGTCCGCATTGGCGATGCCGAAGAGGAGAAGGATGCATGGGATGAAACTATCCGGCTAAGAGAGAGAATGTTCTGGTCACGCATCGGAGGTGGAATTATCCCTTTGTTTGCTCACGCCAATGGCTTCCAAGGCAATATCCCTACATCTACTGAAAATGTTGAGGCTCCGGTTGCCGATGGTCGTGATGATTGCCAGCGGTCAATCATCTCCACCGTCCCCGAGGATATCACCATAGAAACAAAGAACCTAGACGAGATTGACGAGCACAACCATGACGAGGGTTCCGTGGCTGACGATCCGTTTGTGTCTGCTCCCTCCGAGTCAGAATCTACAGCCAGCAGCGCGGCGGTCTCTCCCACGGATGCTAGCGCACCCGTCGTGAAGACAGACCTCGTTGATGACATGCACGAACAGCCTGATGTGCAGGTTGTCGTTCCTGAACCTACACATGATGAAGCTGATAGCGTTAAGCTCCCAACTCAAGTTGAGGAGACGCCAATCAACCACGACACCACAAA